GCTGCTGATGTTATGTACAATGGGAGCTACATATGTTATGTACAATGGGAGCTGCTGATGCTATGTGCAATGGGAACTGATGTTATGTACAATGGGAGCTGCTGATGTTATGTACAATGGAAGCTGCTGATGCTATGTGCAATGGGAGCTGATGATATTATGTACAATGGGAGCTGCTGATGTTATGTACAATGGAAGCTGCTGATGTTATGTACAATGGGAGCTGCTGATGTTATGTGAATGGAAGCTGCTGATGTTATGTTCAATGGAAGCTGCTGATGTTATGTACAATGGGAGCTGCTGATGTTATGTACAATGGGAGCTGCTGATGTTATGTACAATGGGAGCTGCTGATGTTATGTACAATGGAAGCTGCTGATGTTATGTACAATGGGAGCTGCTGATGTTATGTACAATGGGAGCTGCTGATGTTATGTACAATGGGAGCTGCTGATGTTATGTACAATGGAAGCTGCTGATGTTATGTACAATGGGAGCTGCTGATGTTTGTACAATGGAAGCTGCTGATGTTATGTACAATGGGAGCTGCTGATGTTATGTACAATGGGAGCTGCTGATGTTATGTAGAATGGGAGCTGCTGATTTTATGTACAATGGGAGCTGCTGATGTTATGTACAATGGAAGCTGCTGATGTTATGTACAATGGGAACTTCTGATATTATGTACAATGGGAGCTGCTGATGTTGTGTACAATGGGAGCTGCTGATGTTATGTACAATGGGAGCTGCTGATATTATGTACAATGGAAGCTGCTGATGTTATGTACAATGGGAGCTGCTGATGTTATGTGAATGGAAGCTGCTGATGTTATGTTCAATGGAAGCTGCTGATGTTATGTACAATGGGAGCTGCTGATGTTATGTGAATGGAAGCTGCTGATGTTATGTTCAATGGAAGCTGCTGATGTTATGTACAATGGGAGCTGCTGATGTTATGTGAATGGAAGCTGCTGATGTTATGTTCAATGGAAGCTGCTGATGTTATGTACAATGGGAGCTGCTGATGTTATGTACAATGGGAGCTGCTGATGTTATGTACAATGGGAGCTGCTGATGTTATGTACAATGGAAGCTGCTGATGTTATGTACAATGGGAGCTGCTGATGTTTGTACAATGGAAGCTGCTGATGTTATGTACAATGGAAGCTGCTGATGCTATGTGCAATGGGAGCTGATGATATTATGTACAATGGGAGCTGCTGATGTTATGTACAATGGAAGCTGCTGATGTTATGTACAATGGGAGCTGCTGATGTTATGTGAATGGAAGCTGCTGATGTTATGTTCAATGGAAGCTGCTGATGTTATGTACAATGGGAGCTGCTGATGTTATGTACAATGGGAGCTGCTGATGTTATGTACAATGGGAGCTGCTGATGTTATGTACAATGGAAGCTGCTGATGTTATGTACAATGGGAGCTGCTGATGTTTGTACAATGGAAGCTGCTGATGTTATGTGCAATGGAAGCTGCTGATGTTATGTACAATGGGAGCTGCTGATGTTATGTACAATGGGAGCTGCTGATGTTATGTAGAATGGGAGCTGCTGATTTTATGTACAATGGGAGCTGCTGATGTTATGTACAATGGAAGCTGCTGATGTTATGTACAATGGTAACTTCTGATATTATGTACAATGGGAGCTGCTGATGTTGTGTACAATGGGAGCTGCTGATGTTATGTACAATGGGAGCTGCTGATATTATGTACAATGGGAGCTGCTGATGTTATGTACAAAGGAAGCTGCTGATATTATGTACAATGTGAGCTACTGATGTTATGTACAGTGGAAGCTGCTGATGTTATGTACAATGGGAGCTGCTGATGTTATGTACAGTGGGAGCTGCTTATGTTATGTGCAATGGGAGCTGCTGATGTTGTGTACAATGGGAGCTGCTGATGTTATGTACAATGGGAGCTTCTGATGTTATGTACAATGGGAGCTGCTGATGTTATGTACAATGGGAGCTGCTTCTGTTCTGTGCAATTGGAGCTGCTGATGCTATGTACAATGGGAGCTGCTGATGTTATGTACAATGGGAGCTACATATGTTATGTACAATGGGAGCTGCTGATGCTATGTGCAATGGGAACTGATGTTATGTACAATGGGAGCTGCTGATGTTATGTACAATGGAAGCTGCTGATGCTATGTGCAATGGGAGCTGATGTTATGTACAATGGGAGCTGCTGATGCTAGGTGCAATGGGAGCTGATGTTATGTACAATGGGAGCTGCTGATGCTATGTGAATGGAAGCTGCTGATGTTATGTACAATGGGAGCTGCTGATGTTATGTACAATGGGAGCTGCTGGTGTTATGTACAATGGGAGCTGCTGATGTTATGTACAATGGAAGCTGCTGATGTTATGTACAATGGGAGCTGCTGATGTTATGTACAATGGGAGCTGCTGATGTTATGTACAATGGGAGCTGCTGATGTTATGTAGAATGGGAGCTGCTGATTTTATGTACAATGGGAGCTGCTGATGTTATGTACAATGGAAGCTGCTGATGTTATGTACAATGGAAACTTCTGATATTATGTACAATGGGAGCTGCTGATGTTGTGTACAATGGGAGCTGCTGATGTTATGTACAATGGGAGCTGCTGATGCTATGTACAATGGAAGCTGCTCAAATTTGTCCAGATACCACAAGGAAAGCGTGCTTTACGTGTTGCTGCAGTTCCCCTATCCTATAAATAGTGAAATTCAAGTTTCAGACACGTGATTGCATTTTGCTCCTGTGTGAGATTCCCGTTCCAATAGAGGTTGAAAATCAGCCATGGTGAGGAGAAAGTTAACGAACGCTGAAAGATGGCAAGTGATAGGCATGAAAAATGCTGGCATGTCATGCAGGGCCATTGCAAGACAAAAGGGTCGTCATCACAGTGTTATCACTCGTTTTATTGTCAAACCAATGATGTCAATGACAGGCATAGGTCTGGTAGGCCAAGAGAGACCTCTAACAGAGAGAACAGACGTCTTTTCAGGATAGTCAGACGAAATCTTTTTGCCACTTCAACAGATTTAAGACTGCAGTGGATTACCCATCAGAGACTCTCGACGATGACTGGATGGTTATAACGCCAGAAGACCAGTAAAACCTCAACTGACTGAGAGACGGAATTGTCTGATTTGGTGTCGTGCCCGTAGTCGATGGAACTTGGCCAACTGGAGAAGGATCTATTGGTCTGACGAGTGTCGGAATGCTGCTCCGAACTGTTGATGGTCGAATACGTGTTTGGAGGCAACGTAACACTCGTTTTGCACCAAGGAACATCCAGAAGACCTTAGCGTGTGGCGCGGGTCTGTCATGATATGGGGTTGTGTTTCCTTCAGCTGCAAACTTCCGCTGGTGACAATTCGTGGAAACCTGAATGGCCAACACTACCAAGATGCCGTTCTTCGTCTTGTGGTAGTCCCTCATTTTGACAACCATCCTCTTCAGCCAAGACCTGTTTACATGGACGACAATGCTAGACCACACAGATCTCGGGAAGTTTTGGCTTATTTGCCACTCTTCCTTGGCCGGCCTGTAGTCCGGATCTTAACCCGATTGAGCATAACTGGGACATTCTTGGCCGGTAAATCAGACATCGTGATCCCCCAGTTCAAAATCTCGCTGGACTTCAAGCCGCACTTCATGAAGAATGTATCCGTTTGCCTCAGAGAAGCATTCAACGACTTGTAATGAGTATGAGGCGTAGGGTTGGTCTGCTGATATCATGACAATTACATGACAAAAAGTTTTTCATTGTTTTCTAATCCTTCAATTTCTGGTCTTCGGTAAAATTCCTTTCTGCTCATATTCTTTTGGAACACAAGATAAACTTGCTTTGGGACAACTTTTGCATCACATGAGGTTTACATATACGGCTTGTAACAATCGTACATCTCGTTATAATAGTCATCATTAAGTGCCAAAAGTAACAGCTCACAAATATGGTGGGTGGCGCTTAACTTTTGTGCATGTGTATATTAAAGAATAACAAGTTTAATATTTGTATTTTTGTCGTGTCTGAACAAGGGCTATGGTCATATCCCAAAGGGATAGAATGACATTATGTGCAGCACTTGACTCAGGCACAGATTGTTACTGCTTGGGCGACGAAGGACCGACGATTGAGTGGTTATAACCCTCACCGTCAGATGATCCCATGAAGGACCAAGACGCCATCTTTTTCTGCGTTGCTGAAAGTTATTGGAAATCCTTCTTTTAACCTGGCACGGAGGTTAACAGCTCCGATCCTGCAGCGGCATGTCCAGACTCGATTATTTACAGACCTCCGTCACATAGCTGGAATATTGCTGAGTGTGGCGTTAAACAACAAACAAACAAACAAACACTGCTCTTCTCAGCACCTCATCCTGGAAGTACATATTGACTTCCATGAGGAGCGGGTGATCAGGCTCTGTAACTGTGTTTATTGTCCGCCATCGCACCCGAACGGCGTGGAAGGTGATCTACAATTGGTGTTCCATCGTGAGGCGTCCAAGATTATTGCACTTATATAGCGACGTGCATGTACGTGTGTGTGTTTGTGTAGCTGCTTGTACTAGTCCGGACTGATGCCGATTTCTAGTGCTAGCTCACTGAGATACCATGCCGCAGTTTAACATGAACCCCCCACTCAGACACAGTATACTGACTCCGAGCCAGCTAGTCAACCCCTTAATGACGAGCGCCAAACAGGGTAACACCAAGTACCATCTTTTAACGTCTTTTGATATGACGCGGCCGGGGATCGAACCCCGACCTTCCTCTCTCCGGGCGGACGCTCTACCACTAGACCACGGAGGCGGTGGTGTTCGATGGCCAAGAATCGTTCAGTTACAGGCCGCCATGATAGCTGAAATATGTTTGATTGCTTATGCATAATAAAACAACACACACACACATGAGGAACCAGACTAAGGGTTTTTCATTATAGAACTTTTCATCTTACATTTATTCATCAATTAGAATACAGTGGAATCCAGCTTCTCCGGACCCCAGATATCCGGAAACTTCGCCTATGGGACGATTTTTAAGTGAAACGAAATATATACTACATACAAGGCTTTATTATCCGGAATTCCGGTTTCGAGATGCGGACACTGAATTTCAATGACCAAAAGTGCAAAATACACACCATCACTTACCGGACAGGGAACATGTTTGACGATGTTTGTTTTGCAATCCATCACCCGGTATCCAACATCAAGAATATCCAACTTATATAAGAAATCTCTCACGGCGGATGTCGACCACATTGTGGATGTGGCCTGGATCGGAAGTAAAACCCTGACATGACATAAATAGGTCTGCTTAAAACTACATTTGAAACTGACTATGTGCTGATTCTATGGTAATATAACGTAGACAAACATAATCGGCGGAATCGGGTTAACGTCCGTTCGTGTGTATTAAATTGATCCCCTCCCCCCAAAAAGAAATATAAAAATAGCACTGTGTGGAAAGTTAGTCTCTTCCCTTCAGGACATCCATACATATATTCTTAAATTTGTCGATCGAGTCCATCTTAGTTTCCGCGTCTTTGACGCGTTCGTCCCAAGTCCGCATGCGTAAGATGATCTCGCACAATGGAGATGTCTCGAATGCAGTTGCCTCTTCCGAGTCCATAGGACCTCCTTGATGTTCCAGCGTCTTCCTACTTGCCGGCGTTAACTCTGCGGAATACATGGGCATACGATTAAAGGATGTTCTGTTCGCTATGTATTCTACTTTTATAGGCGTACAGGGAATTCCTCACAGTGTCAACATTTTTACACAAAATGATTAAGTACCTAACTTAACGAAAAGAGCAATTACACACTAATAAAACAGTCAGCTTTAAGAACATAGCTCAATGGTATTGCTATGGTTTCAACAAATGGATAAAAGCTGCGCATTTTCAACTTCTTATCTACACTGACGTATCATTGATGGCACCTGACTTACCAAGGTATGCGTAAAGCCATGTAATTTGGGTATTAATAAACTTTTCTTTTATTAAAATGCTCTTTTATAATATGATTTAAGTCTGATTATTGGTCGCATGGCTTCAAATCGGCGACAAATTGACTTTAAAGTTCTCTCGATACACGGCAGTTGCGCAAAGACCATTACTACATACCTGCAGACATATTTAGTCTCATGACCTAACACATGCTACACAGAACAATTCAACTCAGCAAAATGCGAACATCGTTATTTGTGAAAACAAATTCCTTTTCAGTAAGAATGATTTCACTTTACCTGACCCGATTTTCTAGTGGGAAGGTGTAATGGCCGGGTGCTACCGGTAGAGCAGGACATGCTTATCCCATTCGCGAATACCTGGTCCCATCACTAAATTTTAGTAATCCATTCATAAGATTTTCATAACTCGTTTGCCGTTTACGCTGAATGAAATCTGTTTCGGAAGATAATCGAGACTGACTATCCCCTGGTGTTGACGTGTTATATTTATGTACTACTTTTCGGTGTCTCCATAAAATGTGTTTGTTTGTTTGTTTGTTTGTGGTTTAACGCCGCACTCAGCAATATTCCAGCTATATGACGGCGGCCTGTAAATAATCGAGTCTGGACCAGACAATCCAGTGATTGACACCATGAGCATCGATCCACGCAATTGAGACCGATGACATTCATCAACCAAGTCAGCGAGCCTGACCACCCGATCCCGTTAGTCGGCTCTTACGACAAGCATAGTCGCCTTTTACGGCAAGCATGGGTTGCTGAAGACATGTTCTAACCCGGATCTTCACGGGTCCGATAAAGTGTGACTCGGGTGGTAACCATTTGTGATCTCATGCTCATGCTTTGAAGAATTGGTTTGCTTGATCCCTGTCAGATAGATGGAATTGACTGAGGAGGGAAACACCATTGTAAATAATTCCTCTAAACATACTTTCATAGTAATCGGGATACTTCCAGACCAAGTATCTCTTGGCGTTCACATGACCTCCGACAAGATCGCATACGATTTCCGGAAAGCCAAGATCCTGTAGAAACCTGGCTCCAACCGTATCGTGATTCACGGCACCGAGGTTGACGTCATCGGTCACCATCTTCGGCAGCTGTTGTTCCTGTCCCACCAGATGACCGATGTCGTGAAGGAAAGCGCCAATAACTATCTGACACATAAACAGGGCCTTTCTCAAAACACGTTCTTATTTATGGAATCGTATTTTCAAAAATAAGCATAAAAATAATATGAGACTGGTGTTTTGCTTGTGAAGGGCCCCAAACGTTTTCTTGGAACATTTGTCGTTAAACAAATTCAAATTCTACCTTGCAAGCTTTGTCATTCTTTTACACAAATAATGTTCATAAGAATGTTTCATCCAAAGACCGACGAGAAAAATGTCCAGAGTAAAAGAACGTCATATATATAAAAATGTAAAATGACATATTATATATAATATGACATATATAAAGTAAACATTTGTTATTGCAATACAATTTATAACTGCATAAAACATGGGCTAGAATCAACCAGTAACAAAAGCTAGATCATCTTACAGGGATCATATAGTACTCAGCTTCTGCATGATGCTCAAGCAGGATTCACGTCATCACTCTAGCTACAGGTTGTTCTGGTCAATACTAACCATATCAAAATATGCTCAGTGATTGAATGAAGTTAATACGCTGTTTGGTGATACGGACTGTTCTGATTCATTTGTTAACACGCAGTTACCGTTATCACAAAGAAATGTGTCAGTGAATTGTGTTGTCAATTGTCAGTATTCAAACTATATGATGTAATCCACAAATCCACCTCACTGAAAAAGTCCCTGGGACACAAGGCGATGCACTTGGTATGACATGTTTGTTTGTTTGTATTTTAACACAGCATTATTCCGGCTATATGAGGGCAGTCTGTAAAAAATCGAGTCTGGACCAAACAATCCAGTGATTGACATTATGAGCATCGATCCACGCAATCGGGATACGATGACGTGCATCAACCAAGTCAGTGAGCCTGACCAACCGATCCCGTCAGTCGCCTCTTACAACAAGCATGGTCGCTATTTCAACGAGCTCGACTGCTTGATCCCGCTAGTCGCCTCTTACGACAAGCATGGTGTGGCTGAAGATCTATTCTAACTCGGATCTTCACGGGTCACACCTGGTAGGATATACCTTTGAGGCCCCCCAAGCACGTCGACTGTGGTTAAAGAAGGAAATAACATAAAAGCATCCCCATTTACAAGGAATATGACATTGAAATGTAAAATATGAGAGAAAATGTCAGAAAAAAATGGAGAAGAAATAATGACGTATCATCTGTCAATCTGTATGCTGGTATGTGTTCTCTCAGAGAAACATGAGAACCACAGTTTCGTGGCGAGATGACGCAGTAATGTGTGTCCCGCTCCCTCAAGTTGTCCTTTGGAGATAAGGTCAAATAATGTTTAAATTTAATTTTTATTTCACTGCATTTACTGCTGTCAAACGGATTTAAAGGTTTAGGTATAAAATATTCACTTGAAAACATGTGTACAGTTATACATCACATCATAATAGTGTTATTAATAGTGTCAATGGCATTTCCGTATCATAGTAATTACTATACTGCTTGCTAAACCACGAATCTATTTAAAAAATAGGAGATTAGCTTATTCTTTGCGGCAAAAATTGGCTATTTCCGTATCGTATTAAATACTTTTTTGCACGCTGTACCATATACTTTGAGATACCCCTGCGTGAGATCGCCCTACACATGGTCATTGCTCACATTATTATTTGTACACGTAATGTTTCCTTTATCACTTTGGTTATGGCTTTAAATCTAATGTATATAATGTTCTTAACGAATAAAGATTTCCAAAGATTGTGATTGTTCTGTATGGAATGAAAAGGTGTGTGTGTGTGTGTGTGTGTGTGTGTGTGTGTGCGTGTGCGCGCGCGTGCGATTAAATCGTGCATTGGTGCTATTTCGTGATATTTTGTTTTATTTTTCCACAATATAACAGAGAAATGAGATTCGTTAGAAAATTGATATTGATTGTGAAAAATGGCAGAACGTGAAATTATGATGCCTCTACATTCAAATAATGAAATTATTCATAAGTAATCTCTGCCCAAAGCAGAGTCGATCGTACAACTTCGCGTAATTATGAGCATGTGTTTATGAATTAAAGCCTGGGGATTTCGCGTCCCCGAAGCTGACCACCCGATCCAGGTTACTCGCCTCTCACTACCAACGAATGTTACTGGGTATTACCACCAGGGCCCACTTGCACAAAGCGATCATAGCGCTACGATGATCGTAACTCCCATACTCTAACATAGACGTAAGATAGTCGTAGTGCTAAGATCGCTTTGTGCAAGTGGGCCAGAGGGCGTCATCAAAGAGTCGTGTCCCATAAAGACAAGCATCGCTTTAACCCAGTTTATATATGACAACTGCATATCGATAAAACCACACACACCCATCACTTCCGATGTCATGGTACCCGGAAAGTGAAACCAATGACTATACACACATTAAAATGCTGATACTGAAAGTCACTGTTGAGCGGAACATTAACGTTAACTGTTGTTTAAAGCTGCATATTACAGCTGCATGGCGACGCCTTTAAATAATCGAATCTGGAGCTGACAAACCAATAAATCAAAGTAGTCAACGTAAAAAAGGTCTGCCAGCCTGGTCATCCCATCCATTCAGTCACCGCTTGGGACAGGCATAGGTTGTTGAACATCACTCTAAACAATAATCAGCAAATCCCCATCCTTTAATTAGGATACTTAGCATATACTGAGCATATACTAACACTATAGGGATTCTATGTCATAATAGGTTCTCAGTCCCTCACGTTTGTTGTAAGTGAGTGAGTGAGTGAGTGAGTTGGGTTTAACGCCGCTTTTAACAGTATTCCAGTTATATCGCGGCGTGGTTTGTTGTAAGAGCCGAGCAAGCTGGAGATTGAGTGGTCAGACCATGTGACTTGTATGACACCCGATGGTCAGGCTATGTGACGTGTTGTCCACCGTTGAATACCCTGCATGGAAGCCTGTCTATATTTCGAAAAGTCAATGATTTTTTTATATATATTTAGTCAGTATGGATTTTAACGCAGAAGCGAAGAATTTCTGAGACAAGAATGGTGATTGGTCTGTAATTATCAGCTTTTGTTCGCACCTCTTGTCTTCCCTCATTATATACCAATAGGAATATTTAGGAATATTTATGTCCACTTCGTGGTTGTATCATCATGGATTCCTCGCACAGGACCAAATGCCACCATTCATTGCAAGTTTTCTTTTAATAGGTGGGGCACTTATTGGGTCAAATACACTAGTTATGAGAGATTAATGTTTTCCCCAGGGAGAGACATGATGAGCTTGTATGGCACCTCAAGCAAAGGACAGACATGTTGGCGAGCTACTTGTCTTCCCCTTGAGTGTCGTTGTTAAAGAAGTCCCAGTATCATTATGGGGAAGGTGAGTAGTGTAGTTGTTCATGTATTGGTGAGCTCCTTGTCTTCCCATGGACTGAAGGTGAGTAGTGTAGTTGTTCATGTATTGGTGAACTCCTTGTCTTCCCATGTACTGAGGGTGAGTAGCGTAGGTGTTCATGTATTGGTGAGCTCCTTTTCTTCCCATGGACTGAAGGTGAGTAGTGTAGTTGTTCATGTATTGGTGAGCTTCTTGTCTTCCCATGTACTGACGGTGAGTAGTGTATGTGTTCATGTATTGGTGAGCTCCTTGTCTTCCCATTGACTGAAGGTGAGTAGCGTAGGTGTTCATGTATTGGTGAGCTCCTTGTCTTCCCAAAGACTGACGGTGAGTAGCGAGGTGTTCATGTATTGGTGAGCTTCTTGTCTTCCCATGGACTGACGGTGAGTAGTGTAGGTGTTCATGTATTGATGAGCTCCTTGTCTTCCCATGGACTGACGGTGAGTAGCGTAGGTGTTGATGTATTGATGAGCTCCTTGTCTTCCCATTGACTGAAGGTGAGTAGCGTAGGTGTTCATGTCTGATCAGCTCCTTGTCTTCCTCGTTCGTTACATCCATGTTCTACTGTAGATAAAAATACAGTAGATCATGGATATAAGGAGCAACAAGGGACCGGAGAAATCAGTTCGTTATATACGTTGTTCGTTATATACGTTTCTGCTCACCTATGTACACTGGTCATTTACATGCTACCATCATGTAGAAGGAATATTGATTGTGAGGGCAATGTTGAATAACAGACAAAACAATTTAGGCTCTGCGTCTTTATCAGGGTCAGATAGGGATTGGGGCGGTCGGGTAGCCTAGTGGTTAAAGCGTTTGCTCGTCAAGCCGAAGACCTGGTTTCAATTCCTGAAATGGGTACAATGTGTGAAGCCCATTTCTGGTGTCTGCTGCCGTGATATTGCTGGAATATTACTAAAAGTGGCGTATCCATACTCACTCAATCAGACAGAGATCATAGGAACTGCCATCTTTAAGCAGCCATGTTTGAGTTGTCAGATTCCAACAGAGATCTTGATGCAATGATGACTGCAGGGAGACAACTGCAGGAGGCTGGCATCCGCAGTTCCCAGCTGACCAGAAAGTATGTACGTTATGTCGACTACCACTGCCGGAAGAAGAACATAGCATCTCCATTTGTGAGTATCATCAACATGTTAAATAATGCTTCCACACCCACTCTGGTTAAAGTGGTAAAGAATTCTTCTACTCTTTCCAACTGAATAGGTCTTCAGCAACCCATGCTTGCGTTAAAAGGCGACTATGCTTGTCGTAACATGCGACTAACGGGATCGGGTGGTCTGGCTTGCTGACTATTTGATGCATGTTATCGTATCCCAATTGCGATTGATGGTCATGATGTCAATCACTGGATATGTCTGGTCCAGATTCAATTACGGACTGCCGTCATATAGCTGGAAAATTGCCGAGTGCGGCGTTTAACAACAAACAAACAAAACAAAACGTTTCCAACTCTTTTTTCCATATTTCTGTGTTCAGGGGTTGTCACCTAAATGTGTTTATGATTTTTTGAACAATGAATGACATTATCTTCTATAATTTGAGACAACAAATTCATTCATGTGACATTTATTCTGATTTGACTTTAAACACATTTGTCACCTGTGCATGTTATTCAGACATTTCTTGGTGTCCCACTTAGCTGGAATGATGCCAAAATATGGCATAACATTCAACTCACTCACTAACTCACTCATTATTTTAGGATAATGCTTTAGCAGAAGTAGATGCTGCCCCATTGCAAGAAAAAAACACAAAGACTTGAGTTGGATGTAAGGCCACAGGTTTATATACAGAAAAGTACAAGTACTGGAGAACACTCCTGGGCTGGGAAACGCTAAACACGGCTGATTGTCAACCTGAAGGTGCCCGGACAGAACAGCAAACGCGGCTCCGAGGGTACAAACCATACGTAGCCAAATGATGGGACCCCCCCAGGGAAAAGCGCATAGGGGGTCTGCTGTAGGCTCTACTACCACCAGTATACAATAGGGCCTAGAGGGTATGCCTCAAAGACCCCCAAAACACCAAAATCACTACTCCCAGCCCCAAAGTGTTACGCCACGAGATGTGTCTATACACATCTCCTCCAATACTTGGACTGTGATTACTGTTATATTGGTTATGGTGTAGAAGATTTGATTAGCCAAAAATACCTTACTTTTTACTTCAGTATCTGCCATGAAGTGCTGAAAAGCCTCTTGTAAAGTGTTCACAAACAATGCATTTCCCACTTCGGAGAGATGTACGCCATCATGGCGGAAAAATCCTGTTTCAGACATGGCAACTTGTTATAAATACAGCGGCCTCCCCAAAGCAAAACTGCTTTGAACCCAGCTCGGTTCAGTCGACGTCGAGCCCTCTCTATCACCTTTGAATTGAGTGATAGAGTGAGTTAAGATTTAACGTCACATCGGCAGTATTTCAGCCATATCGTGACGACCTTTGGATTGACAACTCCATGCCAGTATAACCGTGGTAGCAGTTGAGTCAGGTAGTAGATGCCATCAGTAACATGCCAAAAAAGGGAACCAATATTCTGGTCAACAAGATCATTTGATCCCAAATGCAAGAGTATTAGACTTGGAGGAGGTATACGGTCTAATTGTGTCTGGACGACTTGCAAGAGTTCTGACCACTTCATGCCCCGCTTTCCAAACCAGTGAAATCGTAACCCTAGATTGTTTCCCAGTTTCAACCTCAATGATTGACGATGAGCCAAATAAATGAATGAGGAGCCTATTATTCATACATCTAGAATAATAATAATTATTTATAAATATCAAATTGCCTGAAGTTATTGACTGTGTATCCAAAGTTTAGAGTCTAATGTAAGTTGAGTACGCCTTAGACTTCCATCGACCCCACAACTGTATTGTCTCCGATGACACGCCTATTTCGGCGGCAGAAGTGGCTGCTCCAATGCGGAATGAGTGTGACTTGAACTTACATGGTTCGAGTCCCATATATCTGATGCATTTGGAAACGGTAGCTGCAAACTTGTATCTTGTTAAAGGTTGACAGTTCCCATGGCAAAACGGAAAAACCAAACCCGTTGGACGAAGTGCAAGGTATTGCTTCATTGCTTTTAGTTGGCATATTTCACTTGCATTACCTTGGATGTGGAGCGAGCAACTCCTTGCTAACTGATCTGTCTTTGACGATCTCATGGTTACTTCTAAAAATGTCCTCTGGACTGTGACATCTGAAATCCTAAGACATCTGAGATCGTTCCAAATGAAGATGGTCAGTGTAAACCATCTCGCCAACTCTCATGAAACCGAAAAAGGCCAGAAAAAAAGCAGTTGTAAACAAAATAGCTTCATATGGAGGACAGCAAAGAGCATAAGGCATCTTAATCAATTTGGAATAGGTATTTGGAGCCCTGCCGTCCCTATGACCCTTGAGGAGCATTACAACATCTTTCGGACGATAAAATTTCTTGTGGTATCTCGCAATCCTGTGAGTTTATGTTGGTAGTTTATCGCTGATAGTTGCTGACACTGTGTAGAGTGGGCCAAAGCTTTCAGGAACAAAAATGCAATTTATGTTGTTAGTTGCCCCTCTCTTCCACAATCTTCCACAATCTTCCAAACTGTGTCTGGTATAAGAGTTGCCACCAAATCTGCATATGAAGTCAGCTGCCGGAATTTCTCTAACTGAAAGCGTGAAAGTGCATCAGCAAGAACATTCTTTCCCCGCTCAATGTATTCGCCCCTAATTGTGATATTCAACTCCAAACAACATAAGACAAGGTGCATAACCAAAGACATGACTGGATCTGATCTTGAGGTCATCTTGTTAATAATCTCGACTACTGCCCGGTTGTCACATGGAATGTGAGCCTTTTTTCGAGTAACTCGGAACCACGTATCACAATTGCAACTATGATTGGAAAATACTCAAGGAAGGTAATATTAGTCATAAAGCCCTGCTGTAGCCAATGATTCGGCCAAGCTCCACAGGTCCATGGACTGGCAAAATAAATACCAAAACCTTTGCCTTGTCCACCAGCACTGTCAGTATAAAAACTCCAGATCAGCATTTGAAACTTTGATCACATTATGGAAACTACATTGAACTTCTTCAAAATCTCTGCCAAACTCTTATGTCACTCTTCATGTTCTTTGTCAATCTTATGTGGTGTTGAGGCTTCCTACCACATGTTGCATTAATAATACGGCAGAGGAAACATCTGTCTGATGGAACTGCGTTGCACAGGAAATTAAGTAAACCAAGTAACGACTGCATCTCTTATAAATGTGTCAAAATATGATCTATAGCATCTAACGAATGAGATAGCTTATCTCCGGCACACGCACACACATGTTGATTCATCAATAAAATCCTTTATGCTCTGACCTTCTGGAAAGATAGGTGGTGTATTAATCTATAATCTCCTGGGGCGCTTTTAGGGACCAATCAAGCGTGAAATCTTAATATATGGTATAGGAGCTTTGTCTATTATACCCAAGTCCAACTCTTTTTGGATTTTTAAATGTGACATAAGATGATTATTTTTAACAAATTTGAGATTTCTTGTCAGAACCTACCACTGTACCATCATATCCTAGCTTGAAGCCATATTTGAAACCATTAACGAGAAACTGAGCCTGATCCGGAAAATGCTTTGCCATTCGTTCCATCACCTGTGTCTTGACTGGTGTTCGACCGAGCTTGTATAACTCTGGAAGGAGTGCTGGCTGATGTACATCTGCAGGCTGGATGGGCATCGCTTCCACATGCGGAACAGCTGTGTCGGCACTAGCAGTTTTGTCTAAAACACTTGCTATGATTAAAGTTGTTACATGTGTTGCTTGCCGGTCGATGTAATTTGCCCTGAAATGTGCTGACGTGTCGTTTTTGTATACCAGAAAAACCCAGAACTGAACGGTTGATGGTAAGTGTCTGTACAAACAACATCCACAATTCCACATTCACGTTTCCCCATGGTAGAGACTGGTCACAAGCCTGGCGAAGACAATATTGTTCATCATAGGTTCTCCATCCCAGACCAGTATGACTAGACGCTGCTAAACGGACAGTATTCATGTGTTTGAGTGAACCTTGTACCATGTCCATCCTGCGCTGGACATAAATACTCATGTAAGTTGTGAAAGCTGTTGTCCAATCAAAAATGTTCTGATTCTCGCGCCTTGAGACTTGGGTCTCAACTCCAGCCGTCCATCTGTACTGATGAATACTGCCGAAGTTGTATATAATCCATCAAATCCCTGTCTGGTTTAAGCAAAAGTGCGAAAATTGACGTACTCACCATTCCATAGTTGTTGTTGTTTTTTTTTTTTTTGTTTTTTTTTTTAATGCTGACAGGAACATTACAACCCAGGTGACCATACACACTTTGTGTTGTTGTAGGTGGTGGCATATTTAACATGTCAACACTTTGAAAGATTTGGAGTGACCTGTGAATTATGAGGGGCAATTGGGTTACTAACCATGCTAGGAGCAGTGTTATGATACTGGGATTGACGGACGTGATTTTCAAATTCCCAGAGGATACAACTAAAGGGTTATATGAATTAGGCCTATTGGGAAAAAAAACAATTTGCACCGACTCACCTCCTGAAGGAGTAGTGGTAACAGGCGTTATCGTCGATAACATCTGGGACCACGTGGACCTCTGCTTCGGCTACGCTGCTGCCGCCATTTTCCCTGTCTCCATGAAACGCACTCTCATAGCTGCAGTTCCATCTTGATTCCATCCCCGAAACGAAATTGTCCATTGTTTGAAATACTTTTCCATGAGGATAAGTTAAGCTATAACGTTCACCACAATAATAACTAACGCCACAAAAACGAGAATTAGAAATGTTTCTTCTAACGTAAGTGTTTCCGCCATTTAAAAAACGTGTTACCGGTGTGGTTGTGTGGATGAAAAGAGGATGGAGCAACTAAATTCAGCTGCAACATGGGTTACTTCCCTTTGTTTAGAGCATGTGAAGAACAATTCCTGAATAATACACTGATAAGGTGCCTTGCACTATTAAACCAGGAAGAGTAGCTTCCCTTGCACTATTAAACCACAAGCTCCTCACAGCGATAGTACGTTCCCGGAGCTGTCTATACCGAGAGTGTAACGAAGGTGTCACGCGCTGGGAAGGAGCTTGATTAAACCAGGAAGAGTAGCTTCCCTTTGACCGTGGAACACAAATGCATGGCGAGAACGCCCCTTGAATTGGAATAATGTAAGATTACCAAAATAATGCATTTTATTAATTAATGATAAAATTAATTATTGATGCCCAAATTCTAGAAGAATTATGGTGAGTTAGAGACCCTTGTGCCTCCAGTTATTGGATAAGTAAAGAATAGATCCAGGAACCCTGGCAGTACAAGACAACTCAATGCATTATATGAACATTTCCCTAGTTAATCAAAACTTTTTGGTCTAGTTTTAGTATCCAAAAAATGTATTTCCATGTAGTGAAGTTATTTTTTTCAGGATCGAGATGCCACAGAATCTATCTCTCCCAACAACTCCACCAATGCAGACTCGTCCTCTGAGTCCGACCGCAATGCTGACGTAGAGTAGGTGTATAGTGTGGAGGACTGGTCCTCTGGATCGGACTGAGATGCTGACGTACAGAAGATTATAGTTTGTAGGACTGGTCCTCTGGATCGGACTGAAATGCTGACGTACAGAAGATTAATAGTGTGGCGGACTGGTCCTCTGGATAGGACTGAGATGCTGACACACAGAAGATTATAGTTTGGAGGACTGGTCCTCTGGATCGGCCTGAAATGCTGACGTACAGAAGATTTATAGTGTGGAGGACTGGTCCTCTGTATCAGACTGAGATGCTGACGTACAGAAGATTTAAAGTGTGGAGGACTGGTCCTCTGTATCAGACTGGGATGCTGATGAGCAGTAGATGTACTGTGTAGAGAACTGGTCCTCGGGTGCGGACTGCGATGCTGACGAGCAGTAGATGTTCTGTGTAGAGAACTGGTCCTCGGGTGCGGACTGCGATGCTGACGAGCAGTAGATGTTCTGTGAAGAGAACCGGTCCTTGGGTGCGGACTGCGATGCTGACGAGCAGTAGATGTTCTGTGAAGAGAACCGGTCCTTGGGTGCGGACTGGGATGCTGACGAGCAGTAGATGTACTGTGTAGAGAACCCGTCCTCGGGTGCGGACTGCGATGCTGACGAGCAGTTGATGTACTGTGTAGAGAATTGGTCCTCGGGTGCGGACTGCGATGCTGACGAGCTGTAGATGTACTGTCTAGAGAACCGGTCCTCGGGTGCGGACTGTGATGCTGACGAGCAGTAGATGTTCTGTGTAGAGAACTGGTCCTCGGGTGCGGACTGCGATGCTGACGAGCAGTGGATGTTCTGTGTAGAGAACCGGTCCTCGGGTGCGGACTGCGATGCTGACGAGCAGTTGATGTACTGTGTAGAGAACCCGTCCTCGGGTGCGGACTGCGATGCTGACGAGCAGTTGATGTACTGTGTAGAGAACTGGTCCTCGGGTGCGGACTGCGATGCTGACGAGCTGTAGATGTACTGTGTAGAGAACCGGTCCTCGGGTGCGGACTGTGATGCTGACGAGCAGTTGATGTACTGTGTAGAGAACCGGTCCTCGGATGCGGAATGCGATGCTGACGAGCAGTAGATGTACTGTGTAGAGAACCGGTCCTCGGGTGCGGACTGCGATGCTGACGAGCAGTAGATGTACTGTGTAGAGAACTGGTCCTCGGATGCGGACTGCGATGCTGACGAGCAGTAGATGTACTGTGTAGAGAACCGGTCCTCGGGTGCGGACTGCGATGCTGACGAGCTGTAGATGTACTGTGTAGAGAACCGGTCCTCGGGTGCGGACTGCAATGCTGACGAGCAGTAGAGGTTCTGTGTAGAGATCTGGTCCTCGGGTGCGGACTGAACACTGAACATATCTCTGTGTTGTGGTTTTTCGGACGCTTGAAAAACATTCATAGTTTTCTCTTAAATCACATGATCAACTTAAAACATCTCATCCAGGGCTTCTATACAACAGGAAATGTGAGTGTAGCAGGTCATATTTTAGATGAGTAATATATGATATGGTAATAATTAAGACTGTCATTAAAATGTCAGGGGCTACTGATACTGAAAGGAGAATGTGCATCATGCTGGTGTATAAATGATTATATCCCCTTGAAAATATATCTGATTTTTAGGCCAAAGTATTTTGTCAATAATATGTATTTGTAAGATGGCAAATGTGGGATAGATTTCAGGAATACTGAGAAGTATATTTGCAAATTCCGACCAATGGCATTACAAGACATTCCTGCGTTATGCATGCCGATTATTTGCCACCATGTGGCGTTTGATAATCGTATTCGTGCCATGGTCACACAATGTCATGGAATAACTGTTTAAAACCGAGATTAAGAAAGCAATTTTAACGTTTGAATATACTGCTTTTAGAGATACTCGAGGGTAGCATGATGCACGGGCATACCATACATGGCACGTGAGCTTCTGTCACACATGACTGATAACATCATCTCGAGAAAACATCATTCTTCCTGTAATTATATCTTTCATGACTGTTACAAATATTGGGACCAAACAATAATGAAATAAATTAGGGTGTGCTTAACTTTTGTCTTTGTGTATATGATTTTTCTACTTTTTATGTTAAAATGGTGGCCTTATTACTGTGTTTATTGGATGCTGGAATGTTACTGCATGAATCACGCATGTATTCAGACGATAACAGATTAAATATGTTACAAAACAAATTGCTATTTTTCATTCTGATTTATTCATTTAGTTTGGTTGAGTCTTCTTGATAAGTGTGGGATTGGTTCCATCTGAAGTAGTCATACAATAACCATCAACTGAAGGGTATTCCAGGGTCAAATTGACACCCAGTAACTTGTGCTTGTGAAGTCAACAAGAATGGATTAGATGGAGAGAGGCTCTGTGGCTTGGCCTATTGTGATATCATGGCCAAATGGCGTAGATTGTGGCTCATGTTTTCAGACACTGGTTTGCCCGATACAGACTTGATTATTACAGTTCGTTGTGAACTATCGGGAATATTGCTACTTGCAGTATAAAACAATATTCACACATACACTATTTCCATACCTGGTCAAATAAGGCATTCCTGCTCTCATCCTGTGTTTTAAGTGCAGGTTAAGGCACAATTCCTGAAGATAGGCAACATGATGTAGTGTATGAGGGAAAGGAAGCGATGGAAAGCCAGAGGTCTGACACCTAAAGTTCGCTCATCGATGGCTTAAAGTTCAAGGAGCAACCAAGCAGGAGTGCTTTTATGTCCCTCAGAAGCCACGAAAATCAAATAAGTCAATATAATATCAAATATGTCAATATAATATTAAACATGTCAATATAATTTCAAAAATGTCAACATGAGATTTCGGAGATAACGAGCAGTTTTCGCCCTCGATTATGAACACGAGAATTTGTTCAATCATACAGGTGTAAGTGGGCTTAAAAAAAAAAAGCTTATTAATTTATATCATATATGTTTCCATCCTTCCAGTATTCATGCCTTACATTTACAAAGATTCATTTTAAGAATCTCCCCTTTCATAAATCTGACGCCAGTTTAGTTTTTTTAATGAACTACCATACAGTGGATGGGTTGGAAGCTCAGGAACAGAACCACTTTAAGAAACATTTATGCAGGCATGACAGGGTTCTATACACTGATGTTAGCGGTTTATAGATATATACACGGATTAAGAATGCTTGTCAGGACAATAAGAGGTGGTAATACCATAAACCCAAACAAAACAACAGATAGTCACAGGAGGTTTCCAAGAGGATTAATAATATTGTTTTGCTAATTTATGATCATGAATTTGCGTACATATTTTTTTAAAATTGGTATTTAATTTCAATTAATAATGTGATTAGCACTTACTTATTTCCATATATAAATGCAAGTTAATTTCTTCAGATCACTGTGCCACATGCATGTGCTTATTTTCACTGGGCGAGATACATTTACACTGGCAATATTTGTTCCAGAAGAAACTAATTTCACGTGGGGCTGATCAGCGCTGACATTTGCATTTTACATGTAAAGATAAATATAATTATTATATACTGAAATATAGATTGTTTTATTTTCTTGGGTAGAGAATCACACAGGATATTGTATAACTTTGTTTTGGGTACAAAGTCACATGCATACAATTGAATGACCTGAAAGTAACAATAGATACCAGATGAAGAGACAGTTCCGGACACGAGGACCGGCACGTGCTATCCATGGTTACAACACAACAAGAGAACAATGGATGGGTATACAGTGTTGAAATATGGCAGACCAGTGTTGTCAAAGCACATTGCTCTCGAACAATATATAAAGGGGAACCCGTTCTGATACAAAATAGTGTTTTGTATAATATCATTGTGAGAATTGTAGACCTTTTAACATCTACTAATGAAGCGTAGACAGTTTGGTCCTTTCAAAACCAACATTAATGTGACGTAAAGTGGCAGAAACATGAAATGACTGAAACTGCTAATTTGTCAACTAACACTGTTAAATTCACCTCACGGACATCGTTGTGGCAAACGTCTTTGATCCCTCTGCTGAAGACGGGATGTTACTAAGACACTGTTCTTTTTTGTGTGTTTGACCAGCCAGTTCAGTGATTGACATCGGTCCACACTTTTGGGATACGGTGACACACAGCCTTATCACCACTACACACGAAGTCGCCTCCTACAACAACAATATGTTGCTGGGGACCTATATTTCTCACCTAGAATCCCCACGGGGAGACAAGCCTAGGTTGCTGGGGACCCATGTTCTTACCCGGATTCCCCACGGGGAGACAAGCATAGGTTGCTGGCGTCCTATATTTATCACCCGGAATCCCCACGGGGAGACAAGCATAGGTTGCTGGGGACCTATATTTCTTACCCGGAATCCCTACGGGGAGACAATCATAGGTTGCTTGGGACCCATAATCTTACTCGGAATCCCCACGGGGAGACAATCATAGGTTGCTGGGGACCCATAATCTTACTCGGAATCCCCACGGGGAGACAATCATAGGTTGCTGGGGACCCATATTCTTACCCGGAATCCCCACGGGGAGACAAGCATACGAGGGGCGTTCAATAAGTTTTGCAGCTTCAATATAAGACCTCGTCGCAGAATATCTTTTGCACTTGTATTTTTCAGTATAATCTCCATTCACCTCAAAACACTTATTCCCATTTGTCCTTCAACCTTTTAATACCACTTTTATAGAAATCCGCAGATTTGCCCTCTAACCACGCCTCTGTGGCAGTCCTCGTCATCCTGGAAGCGTCTTCCACGTAGGGCAGATTTCATTTGCCGGAACAGGAAATAGTCACTGGGGGTCTGTCTGGGCTGTAGGGTTGGTGATTTAACTGTTCGAATCCACATTCACATATAGCAGCCTGTGCAATTCTCGACTTGTGAACCGGAGCAAAAGTAGAATACCACGTGTTAACATCCCACGGCGTTTCTGGCGAATAGATTTTCGCAATTCTTTCATTACATTAACATAATACTGTCGATTTTGTAGTTTTTGGTGGCATGTAATCAATCAGTAGTATGCCTCTTGCATCCCAAAATATGATGGCCATTACCTTGCCAGCCGATGGTTGAGTGCGAAACTTCCTTGGAGGCGGAGAATTGGGGTGCTTCCATTGCATGGATTCCAATTTAGTTTCTGGGTCCCAGTGGTGGATCCACGTTTCATCACCTGTCACTAGACGAGAAAGAAATCCGGCTTCATCAGCAGTAAAGAGATCCAGGAGGTCTCGACAACTTTCAGTTCTCTGATGGGGATCTCGAGCTCTGAGGTTTCTAGGTACCCATCTTGCAGATATCTTGGACATACCAAGATGCTCATGAATAATGGTTCCAACAGTTCCAACTGATATTTGGAATTCCCTAGAAAGTTCAGATACTTTCACTCGTCGTCAGACAAAAATCTTCTTTCTATAACAGCAATGGTTTCCGGTTGGAAGGCATCTGAAGGCCTGCCTGACCTTGGGTCATCGTCTAGGGACTCCCTATCCCTTTTAAACTGTAGAGACCAACGGCAAACTTTTGAATAGTCAGGAGCATCCTTACCCATCACTTTACACATGCGATCATGGATTTCTTTTGCTTTGCATCCCTCCTTGGTAAGGAATTTTATTACAGGGCCTTGTTCATGTTTGAGATAATTCATGATTGTCACCACCCTCAGATGAATGAAGCCATCACATCTAACTTATTGTTGTGTCTGGAACTTGTTATGACACATGTCAACCTGATGTTATGACTATTGTCACACCTGACATTGTTTGTGTAAACACAAATGCCCAAGTTGCAAAACTTATTGAACGCCCCCCGTAGGTTGCTGGGGACCTTTCTAACCCGGAATCCCCACGGTGAGACAAGCATAGGTTGCTGGGGACCTATATTCTTACCCGGAATCCCCAAGGGTGAAACAATGTTCAGATGTAACGTTAAACTTTAGTCAATGATTAGAGATTATATTTTTCTAGAATGTGTTTGACTAGTTTGGCCTCTCATACGTCTCAGTGACAGATGTATCATTTCCTTTAACTGTTGCAAGGAAACGGAAGCCATTATTGTCCCTACTTCGCTGATCCTCGCCTAACTCTTGTGAACCATTGTATTATAACCGAGCTGGTGTAAATGACCCAAATAAGACTAGGTGCACAGTAATAGTTGTTAGTCGTGAGGCGACGTGTCCTCTTTGCACTTTGTTTATTAATTTTCTTCTTTCAAAACTCTATTCTAAACAATAGGTGGTGGCAAAATGAGGAGAGCTCGTCAAATACTTGAATCGGTGGTCGAAATAAACATAAAATTAGACCCTTCAGCTTTTTATTTGTATTTGTATGAAATGGCGAAAAGTTCTCTATTTTCATTTTTGTTAAATGTGACAAGGTGTTGGTTGGTTTGTTGTTTAACGCCGCACTCAGCAATATTCCAGCTATATGACGGCGGTCTGTAAATAATCGAGTCTGGACCAGACAATCCAGTGATTGACATCATGAGCATCGATCCACGCAATTGGGATCGATGACATGCATCAACCAAGTCAGCGAGCCTGACCACCCGATCCCGTTAGTCGCCTTTTACGACAAGCATAGTCACCTTTTACGGCAAGCATGGGTTGCTGAAGACCTATTCTAACCCGGAATCTTCACGGGTCAAATGTGACAGGAATACCGAGTGCGGTCTTAAGCAACAAAAATAGAAAAGATCGCCCAACTTTGTGTCTGACGTTTTACATATCGTCAATTCCTACCCAAAACAGTTGTGTTTACTCATCTGTAAACTACAATCACATAAACTAAAATAGCCATTTGTGAATTGAATGCTCAGCTAATTAATAAATATGCTAATAGCATGATGATTCCAATTTGAAAAAAACCCCGGAAATAGCGTAAAACAGACGATAAGAGATTATAGGCTAAATCGTCACTCAAACGAAAAATTTTCACCACTAAGCGCTTCCTTCTTTGATTATTTAATTGCTTTACCGGTCTTTTCTGTCTGCTCATCCCTTCGATTACCGCGTCTTATCTTATGCCAAGCATAATTAACACCATAGGAGAAACCCAGGATGTTTGTGATAAAATCTAGTTACAGACATTAATTGTTAATTTAATAATTCACAATGTCAACAACAAAGGTGCACCTCTCAACAATGTACAGTAAACAACTACGGTTATAACGAACTCAAAGGGACCACTAATTTTAGTTCGTAATAACCGTAGTTCGCTATAAGCATATATACAGCATATATACATCAAATCGCCGGGACTAAAAATAAGTTCGCTATATCCGTCAGTTCGTTATAAGCGTGTTCGTTATAAACGTAGTCTACTGTATATACAACAGTGTTGTCTGGTCTCTGATGGGCCAACTTTTCAGCTTCAGCTGCTCTTGAACAGACAAGGTATTCTTACTTGATAATCCTCTAATTAGCCAACACAGTATATAGTGCAGCCGTTTCGAGTAGAAAGTGTGCACTTTGTGATGAAGCCATGAAACTACAGATGTAGGTTATGACATTTTAAATATTTTAAGGTATGGGGCCATCCAAAATAAATGCAATATGGCCGCCACGGAGGAATGATTTCTTGTGTATCTCGTGTGAACCTAAATACATTATGAAAAAGGAACATTTTGGAATGTATTGACCAACAGTACATCTGTCAAGTACATAACTATATTTTGATAGAGCATTTATCTTAATTTAGGTAATCTAAAGTGTTGAATAAATATGCATTTCTTTCTTCTTCGGCACATCTTTATGATATACATAATTAAAGCCAATTAACTGTACCGATATTACATAAATTTTGCAATGAAATTTGTATTTATTGAAATTTGTGGTACATATGTTTTAGTTGGCTTGTGACAAGGAAATGCGATCACAGTCGCCACCACATCTGGTGCCACAACACATTTACACCTTCCTCTGCAACCCCTCTCAGACCTACCACTACATCTTAAATACTCTCCTGGAATGCTATGATATTGACTTCACGTATCTATGGGAAAATGGATATTCGCAACTTGTCCTTTAACAGACACACTTGACGTCACCAGTCATCGTAACTATATATTGGTACATACCACTTAACACAGAAACACAGTCGTGTTACAAACACTAGCTTAAGCCCATAAACCAAATCACATGATTTATTCAAAATCAATGAATGTTTAAAAATGTCACTAAACAGGTTTCTAAAACGATACTAAGTTTTGAATAATACCTTTAAAAAGTGTTATCTATCTGTACTTTTTAATTGACATTATTCTTAATAAGGAATGATGATTTATGTAAATGTACTTAAGAAGAAACACCACGTACTCCCTGTGGCTATACCCTCTCTCAGTATCCCATTCTCTTTCAGGCGACTAACGGGATCGGGTGGTCAGGCTCGCTGAATTGGTTGATGCATGTCATCGATCCAAATTGCGTGAATCGATGCTCATGCTATCAGTCACTGGATTGTCTTGTCCAGACTCGAGTATTCACAGACTGCCATCATATAGCTGGAATATTGCTGAGTGCGGCGTTAAACAACAAACAAACAAAACAAATAAACTTTGCTCTCAGAAGCTTTCTTATCATAATGTCAACACTGGGAATGTTATCGTCACATTTTGTTTGCGACAATGATGGATGACAATGAATAACGATGAAGTTCTCAGATGTTTTATTTACACAAGTGCTTTACATAAAATATTATTCTTCCCCGCCCTGAAGGCGGGGAAGTATACGGGAAAGGTCAATTTTATAGCATGTCTGTCGACATGTTGGTTTATTTGAAATTTCAAGCCACGCCGTTACCGAAACAAAACATACAAATCATGTGCGTGAAATGTTGATGCTATTCAAGAAGGTTGGACCTTGAATGGAGCAGCACAAGATCAGACACTATCTACATGCAGGGGTATTTGGATACGGATCAAGAACTGACCACAAAGGGTCACTAGTCAGTTGCAGGAATATCCAGGGGCATGTAACACAGTACATACATGGACTGGTATTATGCTGCCGGACCTTATCCAATGCTGAAGAGTTAGACAATTGTATGTAGATATAACAGATATTAATAAATAGTGCCAATGTGCATTTGATTGAACACATATTGTAATATCAGCATGGTAATATTAAAACAAAAATATTTGTCTCTATAACTGTAAATATATGCCTGTCCTCAACTATGTGACTGCTCAAATCTACCATTGCTTCTGGCAGCTTTGCTGTGAGGGGACATCGTCTTGTGATCAAAGTAATTCTATATCTTCAGACTCATTCCCAGGCGATCCCAGAAGAACTGTCTGTCCCTCTCTTCCTCCGGCCACTTGATGTACGTCGTCGTCTGCAGTAGAGCATACAGTGATGACGTCATGTTCCGGTCCTCCATGTCCTCCAGGAGAACCACCACTAAGTAACCCTCCTTCTTCTCTAGAGAGCGTTTCTGGATGAGAGTCAGCTCAAACTGACACCACGGACTTTGGCTGAAATAGTTTGAAAGCACAAGAAAAACTTGTCTACTGTTTTCCAGACTGTTGACAATATTGTCAACTATGTAGCGACCGGGGATGAAATCTCTCTCATGAATACATAACTTCAGATTAGCTTCCTCTTCAATTTTAGGGATCAGATCATTCCGTACCCATCTGGAATCATCTTCACAATATAAAACAAAGGCATCATAGATGAATCTCCCCGGTTCCTCATCGCATGCTAGCCTGTTCCTGTATCTCAACATATAGATGTAATAACGTATGTGCCAGCGCCATCGATAGCCAAAGGATAGAACCAATATGAACAGAATGAGTGTTCCGGATGCACCAAATATTACAGGAAACATCACCTGTGACACACGACAGATCTGTTCAGATAAATGAGCATCGATGAGACGAATTTTGTCTCTGTGCTTCGGATACGTACATGTATAACCCTGTGGGTAATCTATAAACTTCGTGTGCTCATGCATTATCCACTGGATAAACCAGAGGTTGGTACAAATGCAGGACAGCTCATTGTAAGCAAGGTTCACGTTAAAGAGTTGGTGTCTCAACTCGCGAGGGAACGTTGCTTCAATCAAGACTGTGATGGAGTTCTTGCTGAGGTTAATGTATTTGAGTTTCTTCAACTTGTTGAACAGTCCAGGGTTTAGCTCGGATATTCTGTTTTGATGTAGGTCGATTGTCTCGAGTTGGGTGAGATTATTTGCAACGACACTTGGGAACCGATACAGCTCGCACTGTGCCATCTTAAGGTGCCGTAACATGTGCAGAGTCCCAAGAAAGCCTTCCATAAAGGTCTTGTTTGCATATGGCATGTTATTGTAGGAAATGTCCAGTCTATCTAATCTGGTGCATCCCACCAAGGCTTTCATGCTAGTTACCACATGGAATTCTCCGTGAAGGTTGGTAAGAGCAAGATCTCTTAATGCAGTGGTATTGAATGCAAACTCGTCTATGTGAGGATTAGCGTTACTTTGACTCATAATGGTACTCAAAACATTATCTAAGGTGATACTTAAAGGCCAATGGAAATGAGAAAATGTATTTGTATAGATCCTAACGACATCGTTTCTGGTAGAATATAGGAAGTTCAGCTTCGCCAGACACTGAAAGCTTGAAGGTGACATGCATCTAATAAGGTTGTTACTTAAATCTAAGTATGTCAACTGGGAGGTGTGCCCGTCAACACAAAAGCGGGGAATTTCGGATAGAAGATTTGCACGCATATCCAGTTTTCGCAATTGAAATGGCACCTGACCTTCTGTCTCAGTGAGCCCATTATACCCCACATATAGATATACTAGGGATTTAAGTACATGGAACACTGAAAGGTTCAAACTCCTAATATGATTGGTGTTCAAAGATAAACCCTTAAGCTTTAAATGCGCCAATCCACCAATAAATTCTTCTGAAACGTTAGTAATTTCGTTGTTGTCGCTGATCTTAAGTGTATAAACTGTGTCCTGTAAACTATAAAATGCATATTGAAGGTCCATTTGAGGAATATCGTTTACACTTAGATCCAAAAGCTGCAGATGAACCAGGTCCTCAAAAGCATCACTTGTTACGTGTAGTATACTGTTATTTCTCAGAAGTAACACTCTCAGGGACAGATTGGTTATGTTGCCAAAAGTCTCTCGGCTTATGCTCCCAAGGAGGTTGGATGAGAAGTTCAGGAATTTTGTTGATGGAGGCAATTCTGGAATATATACAAGTTTCACCCCATTGTCTACACAACGAACACACTCAGATCCACACCAACATAAATTATCGCAGCATCGCTCGTACACCACGTGGCCACAGTTTTCTGTGTCTGTTTGTTCAACAGCCCACCGCGCTGCTGGAGCTGTTGACAGTACCAAACAGAGCTGTAAACATAGATTCGTTGCGAAACGTGATGTCATCATTAGAGATTGTCACTTATCGGTAGGCGGAGTCCAGTCTTTCATCTTAACTGAAACTGAATAAAACATAATCTTTAAAGAAACTACTCAAGCACAATATTTTAAAAAAATGTATGTTTGTCTATTTGTTGTTTACCAGTGCACTCAGCAACGTTCCAGCTATATGCGGCAGTTGGTAAATCTTTGAGCATGGATTAGACAATCCAGTGATTGATATTGTGAGCAACGATCCACGCTGTCGGAGTACGATAACACGCACTCAACCAAGTTATCAAACCTGACCAGACAGTCCAATGATTGACATCATGAGCATCTTCGCAATTGGGATACAATGGCATACACCAACCAAATAAGCGAGCTTGTCCACCCGACTCCGTTAGTCGCCTCTTGCAACAAACATGGGACATTCTGAGGACAATTCTAACCCGGATCTTTATGGTAGATGTGTTAAACAGCTTTATCACAGATACATGAGCTGTCCCTTTAATCAAAGGTATCAAAACGTATTTATGCTTTCATTGATTTGCGGCAGAAAACTAGAGGTCATTCCAGTGCCTTGTGTTGTCTTTTAGCCTTCCCTGATACAGCGTATCCACGCTAACCCATTTGTACATGTTTCAAACAGATGAGAAACTGTACAGATTTTTCTTAAATATGTCATTTCTATTTTCTTTTGTTTACTTATTGTTTGCCTTTATTTGACAGCGACATTGCTCTTTTAAGCTAAGCTATCACTTTCAAACTATTTCTAAATTGAAAGTAACCACAAACGTGTTTATCATGTTTCTATTTGAATATCACACAGCTAAAATGTTAAAGCAAACTTAGCATACTCCAGTTTAATGTCATCTTTAAAGATATATAGATTATCTTGACATCTTCGAGTAAATAGTAGCGGGGTTGCCTAGTGGTTGAAGTGTTCGCTCGTCAAGCCGAAGGCCCGGGTTCGATTCCCCACAGTACAATTGTGTACAATGTGTGAAGCCTATTTCTGGAGTCCCCCGCCGTCATATTGCTGAAGTTGTCCTAAAAGCTTCGTAAGAAACATACTCACTCACTCACTCATTCGAATGAATACCGAATGCGAAGGATTGCTTTCATACACCAAACCAAGGTTACACCCAGCATATGATCAGCTACTATTTGCGTGTTGAGTAGCAGAAATCGAAAAAAACAAACCATTTAACAGTTATAAGGACAATGCTTTTTGTTTTATGTTAGGAGATGATTAACTTGTGAAGTATAGGATACGAGGGGTGATTGACCAGTTCTGAACCTCACATAGAAAGACTTGACCTAGACATTAAAATTATTTATTTATCAACATAATTCCTTTTCACATTAAGACACCTTTGCCAACGACGGGAAGCGATGAAAGTGGTGAAACACAGGTTTCATCCATAGTCACAAATTCTTGCAAAAACCTTTCTGGATCAGCTTCAAACAGAGCTAGATTGTTGCGAAACATGTTGTTCGTGGTATGTTAATGATTAGATGTCAGAAGTTTTGGAGCCAAACGAGCTGATACTTTTTCGTTGCCAAAGTTTCTGTGATAATGGAATGTACTCTCCCCTGGGAAATGCCAACTGAACCAGCAATATTGACTCAAGTTTTACTGGATATACCTCTCCCATCACGTAATATCCACAACGAAAGATATAACTAATACCTAATTCCTTCTTTGTGAAGCTTATCAGTCAACCCCCTTAACTATTAAATTATACTGGTATCCATAATAGATGAGGATGTGTCCTCAACCAAATCGAGTGGTTGACAGCCAAACGTCACAATCACCAGGGTATGGGTGGTCATGTGGCCTAATTCCCCTAAATTCACTGTGCGGGGTTGTGTCCCCGCTAAACATAACTCACTCACTCACAGTCATCTGTCAAGGTCACCACAAGCACCATCATTATATATAAATAGGTAATGGTTATCCTAATTACACGAGAGACTGTACCGATTTTTTTTTTAACCCCAGAATCATCCTTTTGTAAAAATTATGGAATGAATGATGACATCTCAGTATATGGATGAATATTAATTTCAGTTTGGAAAGCTGTCGACTAACTCTTTAATATTAAGCTGAATGACACCATCGTATTCCATTTTTGTTTTTGTTTTCACATGGTGGAAATGTCGTGAGGTAATAACCTTTGTAGATGTTTCAATATATATTAAGATAAACCTATTCAATTATATGAATATATTGTTCATCCTTACCTGCCGCTTGAGATGGAGCAGGCCACGACCATCAGATGGTAACATCCCTTGTCCCAATGCATAGAAGGAAAGTTGAATGCAACACCAGGATATTAATTGCTTTCGTTTTGAAATATGGACGACCAGCATGGCCAAATCAGATTCAGTGCATGGAACGACGTTTAAGGGGCATTACTACATTATTACTACATCCGTATGGTTCGTTTTTTCGTCAATCTCCATATGGCTTTTTCATAGATTTGGTACTTAAATCTCAGTGTTACTTAAGTGGGTGAGTTGACTGGGTTTGATGCGGGTTGCAATAGTGAGATCACGACGCGCCCCATGTGGGGGAAAAATAGCCTCCTAAGTGAAATCCAAGAGCAGGGGTACGGTGCTGGCAAACTAAGGATCACAGGCGTCCTGATTCTTTGATTCGAGTCAATATCAGCGGATGCTGGCGTGGTTGGGGGCGCAACTCTTCGCATCGTGTTTCGGCGACACTCACCAATTGTTAACCCGTACCACTATATAAAATAAGAACTATACATGTATTATATGATCTTGAGATGTCTTTACTGGTGTTACTCTTTTGTTTTTTTTATGTTTTTTAAAAGTATCTGAGTGAGGTGAATATTGTTTAATGCCGCAGTCAGCAGTATTCCTGCAATATCAATGCGGCGTGTAAACACAAGCATCTTGACCAGCCAACCAGAGACAGGAGACTCGAGCAAGGATCCACCACATCGGGGCCAGGTCTGACCGATCCGTGAAGATTCCGAATTGGTCTTCATCAACCATGCTTGTCGTAAGAGGCGACCAACGGGATCCGGTGGTCAGGCTCGCTGACTTGATGCATGTCATCGTATCCCAATTGAGTAGATCGATGCTCTTGATATCAATCATTGGATCGTCTGGACCAGACTCGATGATTTACAGCAGCCCGCCATCATATAGCTGGAATATTGCTGAGTGCGGCGTTAAACAACAAACAAACAAACAAACAGCACAGGGGATACGAATTGAGGGGCCTCAAGTGACGGGCCCATGCACCTATAGTGGTGAGGTGGTCAGACTTGTTTATTTAACGCCACACTCAGCAATATTACAGCTATATGACGGCTGTCTGTAAATAATCAATCAGATCTTTCCCCTATGCGCTACTTCGTCGTGAGAGAATCTTATGATCCTTTCTAAATCACAGATTCGACATGTTTAAGATTATATGTTTCTCAGGGCCATACCCGTGTTTCTCAACAGTGGTAACGACGACCTGCATCACAGGAGCTGACACGCCGTGATAGAAACTTTTTCAATTAATATTGACGCTGAGATCATATTCAAGATTATGAAAATGTTTTGGCTGCTTCATCCTCCCATACATACTACACCAGCATTTGACGACCTCTGACCCTCTCGGTCATACAGGATACACCACAGGATACACCACAGAATGCACTCCACAGGTCTCTATCAGGTCATGTATATCTTGACAATGTCACGGCATACCAAGTCAGGGTGAACAATGTATTGTTGAGTTGAACATATCGAAATACCAGGAAGAAGGAATAAGGGCATAGGGACCGACCGTTTGCTATTTTGGAGAGGGTGGGGGCGTTGACTTGGATTTTAATGAAAAAGATAAAATGTCCCCGAAAATTCTGAAAGAGCTAATTATGCTTCAGATTGTTAAAAGAAATTGTCTGCTACAAAAATGACCATGTTGCAAGGTGAATTTCTGCAAATAATATTCAGGCACATAGTTTTAATTAAAAAAATATCTGAGGGCCCGTCTGCCCGCCAGGACATAGCTATAATTCTCAATTCTGCAACTGCCACCCCCTCCACTAGACATGACAACGAATCGCCCTGTTATCATAAGACATTTTACTGGGAGGACAAGCTGAATGTTCCGGGCGACACAAACACTGAAGTTTGAAATCAAGGGTATTGCTTCTGGCTTGACATGGGAACAGGCTACAAAATGCAAAAACAACGACCCAAATATATGGTATTGCCAAGCACCAGAAACCGTTCCAAATCCCCAAGAGACGGAACCAAGGGGTCAAAACGAGGAAACAAGGGTTGTGGTCAGGGTCCTACTTCACACAGGGAAAATGTTAACTATTAACAATAACGGTTGTGCCAACGACACAGGCGGCTTGATTTTTATGTGAATGTCTCAGGACTTGTACAGACACTAACTGAGTGTGAATCGCTACCAGATATGAACTCTTCTGACATTACTGGATTGACAGAGGCATGGACTAAAGGTGTTAAGATTCAGCATACGTTCTCTGATTATGTTATGTTTAATAGACTAACTGACAAGATACCAAGCAAAGGGAGATTATCAGGAAGGGCATAGTAATGATTTGTTTGTTTATTGTTTAACGTCGCACTCAGCAAAATTCCAGCTGTATGACGGCGGTCTGTAAATAATCGAGTCTGGACCAGACAATCCAGTGATTGACATCATGAGCATCGACCCACGCAATTGGGATACGATGACATGCATCAACCAAGCCAGCGAGCCCGACCACCTGATCCCGTTAGTCGCCTCTTACGACAACCATGGTCGCCTTTGACGGAAAGCATGGGTTGCTGAAGACCTATTCTACCCCGGATCTTCACGGGTCTTGTAATTATAAGGCATCAGTATCAGAAGGTCACTGAGCAAACCTTGATCAAAGATTGTGGTGTTTCTGGTTTTCTGGATGAGTCACTCTTTGGTTTAAAGGGAACTGTTCCTTATTATTTATACATCCAGATCAATAAACATGGTATGACATCCATCTTAATGTTAATGGCATAAGACTTTTTCAGGAGGAGCTTTTAGATTTTTTTGCCCACGGGGGGATTCCGGGTAAGAATAGGTCATCTACCACCTATGCTTGTCGTAAGAGGCGACCAAATGGATCGGATGGTCAGGCTCGTTGACTTGGTTGATTGCGTGTTTTCTACCTCGACGGCGTGGATCGTTGCTCAAATCAATCACTGGACTGTCTGATCCAAACATGATTATTTACAGACCGCAGTCATATTGCTGAGTGCGGCGTGAAACAGCAAACCAAAAAAACAAGATATTTTAAACCGGGTTAGTGATGCATAATGCATTTCGGGGATGACTTCACACTTTGCTTGGTTCACACTTGCACAGTTCCTTGGAGTATGGACCTTCATAGAGTGAGGGCCAAGCATTTCACACAGAGTGAAAGTCATTTTTTAAGTATAGTGATTATGCTATCTAGCCTTGAGCGTATATAGTTTTATTCTGTTCTGTCCTGGCAGTTTGGTATGGATTTTGTAGATGCACCAACCGAATATGGTTTGTCTTATTGACGTGACGTCATACGTGGACGACCGGCCCGTGGCAAGTCATGAGTATTGCCAGGTTGTAGATAACGTCTCCACAGGGATAATATTGTCTTAAATTAAATATTAGAAAGTCTGGCAACTTGGTTTTCCTGTCTTCATCATTCCCATGATCATAAACGTTATATTTCATGAAGCAGTGGCATTGCGTAAGCAAAATGGATCAATAGGTATTTATAGCTGAACAATCACTGTGTTGTTCACATTAAAACAGCATGTGTATGAGTATCTTGCTACTAACAAATATGTAGATGGGAATGTCCGTTCATTCCGTGTGCTTAAAACACATCTGTGACGTCATTCTATTGTTTGAACGCTCCATTATTTTTTCAGGAATGGAGAGTTGCTTGTCAACTGTACATTATTTTGAAGCAGCATTTGAATTTTTCAAATATTTTCAACTACGGAATATTTTGTCAAAGTGTAAAAGTAGGGATGAGTTTTAAGTAGGGGAATATCCTCGTAACTCTCCATTCCTTAAAAATAATGGGCCTCGGCCCCTGCGGGGCCTCTGCTCCATTATTTTTAAATCCACTCCAAATTGTGCGCCGTGCATTAACACGCACGTGCAACCTGTGACTCGCGCCCTTAAAGTCGAGGATGCTTTGTTTGACATCTACATCAAAGGTTTGGGCGACAACAACAGATGAAGGCAAGTGGAACCAGCCTGAACCAGACTATCCAACGACTGACACCTTGAGCATCGATCCACACTTTTGGGACACGATCATCACGATGACATGCATCAACAAGGTCAGCGAGCCTGATCACCAGATCTCGTCAGTTGCCTCTTACGACAAGCATAGTCGCCTTGATATATTTGGAATCGTACAATCGATTTCTTATGAATAAAGAGTTCTGGCGCTTTATTTACACCATTAATAAATGATCAGAGACACAAGTTATTATCACAGTAGAACTTAGACCAATCAGTGATTTGTAAATCATACGAAACATTTAATTAGAGTATAGGAGGGTCCTGCTTGTAAGGGATTGTGATGTCTCAGTTAATATTTCTGTGCAGACAATGATAACTCGAGGATTGGGGTATTTTTAATTTCTTAGGCATTGTTTTCTTAATGATAGATGTTGATGGCCATGCTCTCAAAGAAAACAGTTTAACCTGTAGTCAATCCACTTGTCAAATATACTACCACATGTTGATTTTAATTATAAAATGCAAACTCCATCCGCCAAATCCTCCAGTAACAGTCCCAATCTTAGCCTCATGAGAACTAGGAAGAACTCATCGATCAACCTTAAGGTGCGTGGACGACCTTCTAATTCCGATTCACCAGAATAATTACCCCTAGTTGTATACTTTAAGGCATCACCCATCTCATGAAATAACGCTTTAAATACACCTGCGTCAGGGATTCCTGTGTAAAAAGAGAATTTTTCATTTGAGGAGACATCTTATGTTACCACAGGCTTGCTCCACTGAATTTCCACACCTACCATTTTCGGATTTGGTATAGCATTCGAGATATTATCATTCAATGTTTGTGTTAACACAGTCACACAAATCATCAAAGATATCTGACCGAGTGAATGCATCAATGCCCGAATTTGTCCACAGTAGTCATGCATGACAACTGAAGTTTCCACACATGACCCTGGGGACTTCATACTAATCTGCTAAAGGTCCGGCACAGAATGCTCTCCTCCATTGTCACTGTCCCTGGATTGCTCAGCTACTGGTGCTTGGGCAGGGGGAGATAATTACTTACTGTTTGTTGTTTAACGCCGCACTCAGCAATATTCCAGAGGCGGTCTGTAAATAATCGAGGGATGGACCAGACAATCCAGTGATTGACATCAGTCCACGCAATTGGGATATGATGACATGCATCAACCAAGTCAGGGAGCCTGACCACCCGATCCCGTTAGTCGCCTCTTACGACAAGTATAGTCGCCTTTTACGACAGGCATGGGTTGCTGAAGAACGTGTATTGGCAAAGACAACACAACATAGTCTCACTACGTCCGTTTGACCACCAGTATGGCGGATATCAACACAACACACGTGATGGATTTCGGAAATTTTTAAATCGGCAATATCTCCGATGTATATGGTCCGGACTTGACCGAATTCCTGCCAACCTAAACAGTTCAGATGAATTAAGCATAATTCAACATCGAGAAAATATATAAATCGAAGGAAAATACCATCTGCTTAAATGTGTATCTTTTGAACACACATCTTTTTCAAATATCTTTGTAAATATTTTATAACAAGGTAACAAAAGTACATGATCATTTTCCAACTCATTTATTATTCGAAATCACAGAAAGTTCCACCCCAGAGAATGAACAACCTACATCGGCAACAACAATGACATTGAAGAAAGAAACAATGATAATCAGCGTTTTCAAATTGAAGTTGGGTTTGGCAACAACAACTGATGAAGAAAGATAACTGTCTAGTAACTATTGAAAAAGCGAAAACTGATCACCATAATCACCCGAGTTTTGTTTACAATTTCATGATGAAACCTGTCATTAACCAGCTACAGTCTAGATCTATATTTATATCTTATTAAATTATCTCGTGAAACGCTATTTTCTCCAACACAAATTAAGAAATCATTCCCACAGGCAAAGAGATGCAAAACAAATTACTTCTGGAGCCAGGCCGTTTTGGAACAATAGACGAGGCTGACCTCGAGACTGTTTTCCTGTGAGGCCAATCCAAATCAACCCTACGGACAACACACTGGGAGTTAGGATGTTTCAAAGTCGGGGAATTAATGAAAATCAAAAAATAAATAAAGGTTTTGTTTCGAAAACACAATTATATAAACTTTGCCTTCACATTTATTCGAAATCTCCACATCATATTAAATTGTATTTTTAGATAACTCAAAATTAATAACAATGTGCCTATAGGCTTAACCATAATCAAACAATGTTTACCCAAAGAGAATAGAAAAGAGAGCCTTGTACAAATACATCCCTATTTATACCTAATTTACAACCAAATTGAAACATAATATTTTCCTACCTGGTAAACAGTACGTTTGTTTCCGTTTAGACACAACTTGAGATATCCCATAAGTTTGGAACACTTCTGAATGACGAATTGACGTCACACTACGCGTTCGGTTTCAAATGAAATTTAGAGACTATCAATTCGGTCTAACATTAATCTAATTTTCAAACACAGGACATTTATCTCCTAATTTTAAGAATTGACTATCACTTCGCCACAAGCTCCGACGTTCATCAGCTTGGCCGTAACACTATGAAGGTTCATACTCCAATGAACTCACACAAAGTGAAAGTCAATTATTTCCAAAAATCCCAGGTGACTTGGTATTATGTGGAAAGGAATGTATGAGTGCCAGTGACTAACTGCAGAAGATAGTTATAAAACAATTGCTGACAAAAACATAACATATTACAGAATACAGCAGACGTGCTGGTGATTTGGGAAATTTCTTACTAATTCTAATATTTGAAAATGAGCAAAATACATTTGGTCATATTTTCTTTGTATCTTTGAGAACCGTTTTTCTCAGCAGTTTGCGTATAACGTCTGGATTTAAACTAAGCGGCAAAGGAAAGTATAGGTTGGCAATTTGTAGAGAGATGGGGGCAACACAGGGTCCAAATTGCCAGAAGGTTTGGTTGTACCCCATTGACAGTAGCCAGGCTGATTCAACGGTACAGACAGACAGGGAGGAAACAGGACAGGCCTAGAACCGGTCGACCCCGAGTGTAAACACCACTGGAAGACGGTCAGATACGGCGACAGCAGCAACAGCGTTGGGACATCCCATTAGCCAACGTACAGTAATACGACGACTTCGTGTTGCTGGAATCCGAGCGTATCGTCCTTTCCGATGAATGGTACTGACTGCTCAACATCGACGCTTGAGACTGCGATGGGCAAGGCAGGTTCGACGCTGGCAAGTGCGAATTTGGCGTCGAGTGCTGTTTACTGATGAAAGTCGGTTTAACTTGTTTCGAAATGACGACAGAGAACGAGTATATCGACGAAGAGGGGAACATTTGGTTCCGGTGTGTATTCGAGAGGACCATCCATTCGGCGGGGGAGGTGTCATGGTGTGGGGCGGTATTTGTGGAGATCAGAAGACTGATTTGGTGATTATACAGGGAAACCTGCACACTGTGCAGTACAGAGACCAAGTGTTGCAGCCAGTTGTGCTTCCGTTCTTACAAAACCAACAGCAGGGGACATTGTTTCAACACGACAATGCCAGGCCCCATACTGCAAGACTGACTCGGAACTTTCTTAACCAGCAGAACGTTGACGTTTTGGCCTGGCCTGCCCACTCACCCGATATGAATCCTATTGAACATCTGTGGGACCATCTTGACAGACAGATTAGAGCACGACATCGGCCGCCCATCAACAGACAAGAATTGCAGCAGGCCCTGAGAGACGAGTGGCAACGGATTCCAGTCCACGTCATCAGAAGACTGACGTCATCGATGAGGCGGCGTATCAAAGCATGCATTAGGGCAGCTGGAGGTCATACACGCTATTGAAGGCAACTGTGTCGACAATGAACTTGTAGTGTGTCTGACAATTTTTTGATGACATTTCAGACAACTTTTGAAAATGAAATTTCTTACCCCACCATTGTTTACCTTGAGCTTATATTACATGTGATTGCACAATTTCATTCAAACTATGGTTGATAAATCATTTGTTACCCCTCCCTAGATTATATTAAAATTCACAACAAAACCTCTTCTTGTTATTCTTTTATCGATCATGGAACTCGACCAATACTTTCTTTTGCCGCCCAGTTTTAAATGTGGACAAACACACAAAGCTTTAGGTTGCGTTTGTCCGGATGTGAGTCTTCTAAGCACAGACGTCATCGGTCGTGTCGCCCACAACTGCAATGTAGAATGTTGGCACACTATTTACAAATAATAACAACGTAAATGAAACCAAGCACCTGTTTATCCTTCACTTCGTTCTCTCAGGTAGATAAATATATCTATATTTAGTACTTTAAAATGCATTGGATAGTTTAGGCCTGAAAGAAATGATGACGCTGATTAAATATTGTTAACATAAGGTGATTTATTCAGTCAAAACGTGTTGTATAGACACAGAGAAATATCGCTAGTTTTTCCAGATGGTACTGTTATCGCGCATGCATATCATTACCCCACCCACATACGATGTTATACTTATTGTTCAGCTGTACAAAATGTATAAAAAACTGCCCGTAAACATTTCCAGGCGTTCAAGTTCAAAGTAAATTACCCATGTTTGAATGAGTGAGTGAGTTGGGTTTAACGCCGCTTTTAACAGTATTCCAGTTATATCACGGCGTGTCAGCTTCATTTTTTAGGAAAGCCTGAAGTAATGCAGGTCTCAGTCGTTTACCACTTCGGTGAAACCCACGAGCACGGGTATGGTGCTGACAAACCTAGAAACATAATCGGGGCGAACCGGGATTCGAACCGACAATCATACATTTCTGGCGTGTCCACGGGACGCAACTCTGCACAGTGAATCGCGGTACCTTGTGCCACCCGTGCCCCCGACTCATGTTGGAGATGAGTTGTTCAATTGCATATGTCCCATTACATTTAGACAGTCATTAAAAGAAATGACCATGTTTTATGAAAAGACTCCTATAAAAGAGCTATTAACAATTGTCTCACCCTCAAGTGGATTTATCTCCAACGTCATTGGTTCATACGGCCGGATTCCTCCACAATACCCACCTCCTAGGAGATCTATGACGGTCCCGTCAGCTGATTTGTTTACGGTTCCCCAAGAACTTCCCGGTGATAGATGCCATTCCAGCTGCATAGCAAAGGGAGTAACCACAACAGTCTAGCTAGGTCAACTCACACCGCAGGAAACACAATAGAGGTGAGGTGAAATGGGTTTAACGTCGCGTCCAAGATTATTGCACTTATATATCGACGTGCATGCATCGATTATACAGTGCAAGCCCACTGAGATACCACGCCGACTTTTTAACAGGATTACCCCACTCAGACACTGTAAACGGACTCCAAGCCGACCAGTCCTTGTTTTAACCCCTTAATGCCGAGCGCCAGACAGGGTAACAACAAGTACCATCTTTCAACGTCTTTTGGTATGACGCGTCCGGGCATCGAACCCCGGACCTTCCGCACAACAGAACACAACAATATTGATGAAGCTGTATTATATAAATTTCAATGTCAGGTAACAAGTTAACCATCAGATAAACATGTACTACTTACAAACACTCTAGTTTCCAAACAAGATGCGATGAATGTGATAAAACAATCTTACTTTTATGCGCCTTGACAGGTAAGCTTATAGCGTCCCTAAAGTGTGAAGCCATGATAGCGTTCCATTGTTTGTGGTGATACATTTTAAAGAACTCTCGGACCTTATCATTTTAGCGTATTTAAAAAAAAAATCCCTTTATCTCTACAAGAAAACAAAACGTGACTTTATGAGAACTCCTGGGAAACATTCTGAATCGTATTTTTGCTACCGCTGGCGTAATGGGCTGTCTTACCGTTCTGTTAAAAACAAGGCCTGTTCCTGTGGTGTCAATATGGAATGTGCCCTTTGGACCGCAGCTGTTTCTCACATTACCCACGTGACGGGTGTAACAGTCGATGGCGCGCCCATATTTGTTGACGTTGTTCGTTGATGTAGCAAATCTCCTGTCTCTGACATCTACAGTCATCGTCTGTAATAACATAGGTCAAAATGGAAAACTGTATTATAAATTGTATATTTATATACTTATCCTATCTCACACTATGCATTTCTCTTTCTTCTTTCGATTCTGAGTGGAAACGTGTCTGAAATAAAAGTTTCCAGCTTCTAAAGTTAATTAACCCTGACATACCTCACATCGCCACGGTCACCTCCCAGATCTGGGTCATGCGCGCTATGCATGCTGGTTGACCTTCTTGCACTGATCACGTGTCTATCCCAGTCAACTCATTCTCTTTCAAGAGCATATAGACTAAGGAACTGCGATGCGGGGATGGACGGGTGGGCATATAACGTAAAAAAAACGAGATAGGATAAGTATATAAATATACAATTTATAATAAATGTTCAAATTTTTAAACTTATCCTATCTCACACTATGCATTTTATCCCACGGTTGGATGGTGGGGCGCAACTCCCTTCTCTATAGATCACAACCGTAGGATATTTACGAGGAAGCTGGAACTTAACAGTGGTACAATATTTAATACAGTAACACAGTTAAGTGTCGTAAGACAGAAAAAACAAACAAAAACAACAACTCGTAGACAGGATAAGAAGAACACTCTCAAAGAATGTTTAGATCCTGATACGCGAACAACTGAAACACAATAAGTCGGGTACAATATGTGTAACAAGTTCAAACGTAATCGTATTTCTAAAACGAACGAGAACGACTTATATTCGAGAGAGTATGCATCCAGTCGTCGAATCTCGGAAGGTACCAGTTGTTCTGCTGTTGTAGTGAGTCATTTGGGGTTAGTGTCAGTGTCTCCCTGAAAAGGAGACGGTGCGCCTGATTTCCCTCCTTGCTGATGTTGGCGTGCTCGGCCACAGCCACGAAAAGAAGCAGATCTATTACTCAAAACCTCTCTGAGGTCTTGTTGAGAGGGAGTAAAGGTTGGTCGTCTTCGATCTTTCCTTTGTTCTTCCAGTTGATTTCTCTGGCGACGAAGTAAGTCGACAGTGACTTGCAGGAAAGTGTCTCTTTGGCCTTCATGGGCAACCTCCTGTATGCGCCCAGCAAAAAGGGAGGGTCTTGACCATGGCAGTTGGTACGGCCTGTTCTTAAATTGATCATCCCATGAGCAATGTTGTAACACCCCACGCCTACGAAGGGTAGTGATAGATCCCGCATGGTGAGCAAGGATGTCTAGTATTGCTGTCGTTTTGTCCTGGATGAGGGTCACAGCACCTCGAATACAGGATTCTTCTGAGGAAGACGCATGAGCTAAAGCCGATGAGAGTGCTTCAGTTGCCGATGCAATAGTGGAGACCGACGGGAGGGTCCTTCGAACAGTGGTGTCCAGGTGGACGAGGTCCCTATCATCCACTGAAGAAGCAGAGTACGGATGCTTAGGAGCTAATGTTGCGATGTCACCATCTAGTTCGGGAGCAATCGTAGACAAGCCATGAGTCCCTGCATCCGCCAATACAAAGCGTGGACAGTGAAGCCAATCACAAAGACGGCGGAAGCATCATATGCTTTGTCTAAATTGGTGGCCATATCCTGTAGGACTGGTCTCGGAGGGAGTGTGATGTTCGGCGACGAAGCTGAAGGCACAACAAATGATGATAAAAGTGTCCTCCGTTGAAGTGCATTTTAACAGTTGTAACTTATCTGCTATCCAGATAAGTACAGTGATCGGATCCGCAATTTCGAAGCTCCCAGATGACGAAGCTGGTGACTCGGATTCTGGTGGTTGATCCACTGAAAGGGATGTAGTGGCTGTCGATGCAGATTGAGGTACCGTAGTTGGTACAGCATGTGCCGGTTGGGGAAGACATGTTGCTGTCTGTAACAACAGCCTGTAACAAAGAACGAATCTGTTCTGCTGGAAAAGCCGAAAGTTCGCAAGGGATCCATGATGTAGGGATAGTTTGAGATGGAGCTTGTGATGTAGCAAGAGTCGGTGATTCAGATGAAACAGGAGGGCGTCGAAACAGAGGTGGTGATGGGGAGCCAGTATGACGAGTAGGTGAAGTAGAACTCTGCCTATCTTTATGTGAAGGGCATTTACTAACGGTAGCTGGTCTGAGTGGTCTATCTCTATATTGCCGAAGAGAATCCTCATGGCGAGAAGAGGAAATGTGACTTGACCGAGAGGGTCTGTAATCCGGATCATGAGGATACCCATGCCATGGAGGGTGGGGATCCCTGTAGTGTAGGTATCGTTCCAACTCATGTGCGTAGGCACTATATGAAGTAGTGTTCCAAGGGTAATCAGCACGTTGATGAAAATCGAAAGTGTGAGGGTAATCTCTTGGTTGAAAATACGGATGGATGAGAGAAGGAGAAGATCGAGACATGTAGGATGAATGACTAATAGACTCGTTGTAGCGTTCATCCTCTGAGCCACGATGTTCGAATGTTCAACGAGGTTCGGAAGTTTGGCGAGGTTCGGAGGGTCGAGATTCAGAGGTTCGAGGTTCGGAGGTTCGAGATTCGGGGTTCAAGGTTCGAGGTTCAGAGGCCAGATGTTCGTAGGTTCGAGGTTCGGAGGTTCGGAGGTTCGAGGGTCCAAGTTCGGAGAATCGGTGTTCGAATCATCTCGGTGTCGAGGGTGAGAAGTCCGTTGGTCCCAGTCTGAATGCCGTTCCCCGATGATTGCACTGAATAAAGAGCACTTGTCGTTCCCAGGACGAATGTCTATCGTCTTGTGAATCCTCTCGGGAATGGGAGGTTCGTGAGCCTTGATCCGATGAGTCGTAATACGACTCCTGGTGTTGAGAGGATCAATCCTGCGAAGATCGTCGAATGGGAGAATGACGGACAGAACTTATAGGGTTGACCGAGGTATCAGTACTATGTGTACGCTCTGAAGATATAACAGGAGCGAGCTCCCTGTTAGTCGTAGAACACGATGAGTCGAAAGTACGAACCTCGGTCGGGTTGGATACGTTGGCTGACGTAAGCCGGTCATCCACACTCGTGTCTAACGAGATGACTCGTCGAATGCTCGAGTCTCGGGATGTTGACGGTAGGTTCGCTTTGAAGGTGGATTCGTGGAGACCTTAGATATGTCGTCTGTGAGAAAGAGTCAGAGACTCTCTCATCGTCTAACGAGATCATGGGACAGGTGGGATCCCTAGTATCCCGGCCCGCCGGCGAGGGTGATTATGTTGACCGGTGTTTTCTTGGCTTTCGTGGATTTTTCTGCAATCTTAGAGAGGCGATCTGACACCCAACGCCGACATTTATGCAGGTACAGTTTGAAGGATACAAAACTTCCAAAACTGCATAATTCACGACAATCCGAACACTGGGAATGAGGGTCAGACGGAGAGGAAACACGTCGGCACAAAGTGCAGACAGGTCTCCGTGTGGACTGCTCGTCCATTATGAAGAATAACTATCCCAAACAGGGATATAAGTAAATTTGCAGGCAATTAGACGCCAGAAATATGAAGATCGCTTGCAAGGGAAAAAAAATCCAAAATGGTTTCCTGTAAAAACAACACGTTACCACTGCCAGGCGATTTGATAAAATGCATAGTGTGAGATAGGATAAGTTTAAAAATTTGAACATTTTATTATGAATTGTATATTTATATACCTATCCTATTTCACACGTTATATGCCCACCCGTCCATCCCCGCATCGCAATTCCTTAGTCTATATGCTCTTGAAAGAGAATGAGTTGACTGGGATAGACACGTGATCAGTGCAAGAAGGTCAACCAGCATGCATAGCGTGCATGACCCAGATCTGGGAGGTGACCGTGGCGATGTGAGGTATGACAGGGTTAATAAACTTTAGATGCTGGAAACTGGTATGCAGACACGTTTCCACTCAGAATCGAAAGAAGAAAGAGAAATGCATCGTGTGAGATAGATAGTTTAAAAATTTGAATCACACTTTGTGACACACTATGTGATTCCCGTCCAGGACGACCTGTTTCTCTGATAGATTTTGCTGGTACCAGATCCCATTTAATTTACATCATGTAAATAATGTATTACATAACAACAAACAAACAAACAAACAAACAAACAAAGAAAGTACAAAAGGAAATTCAAACATTGTTCCAAAATGTTATCAAATATTTTATTTCTAGAGGTTTTCACGCTTTCGGAACACACCAGGGAACAGGAAACAAAATTATACCTTGGATCTTCATAAAATTATTTTGTAAATTTCTATATTAAACAGGGCCTACTTCCAGCCTATATGTGTACCTGTTAAATAGTGAACACAAACGCAACATCTAACCACGGCGGCATTTATTGAGGTAACTACAAAAGTGGGAAGGCAGTTTTGTTCAACTAGCCTCACGAAATTTGCGTCCTGTCGTTGCGCCATTCCCAAGAATTATTGGCAGACATTTTGAATTGCAAGATGACAATACCAGACCACATCGTGCCCAGGTAACTCCGACGAGAAGGCATTCGGACACAAACTCCTATGACATGTCCCAAACAGAACATCTGTGGGATGTTCTCAGCCGAAGTGGCACACCTTGGGGTAGCTCTTCAGGCGGAATGGCGAGCAATGCCAAAGGCAACCATACGCAAGTTAATGAACAGTTTGTCATCAAGATGTCGGGCATGTATTGCCCAACATGGTGGACACGCCAGATATTGATTTGCACGCCCGAAATTAATTTTATTATTAACATTTATCGCCTGTACACCTTCACTATCATTTCATCAGTTTATACTGTCTACAAAAATAAGGGTACTGATGAAATTATATTTGACACTAAAAATGTGCCTATTTTACTGCGTTTGTCTGATGGAGAGTCCGGGAAATATAGAAACCATTCACATGTTTGCAGGTAAACAAATGCCCTCTCCGAGTGAAGATCTCGACACCAAGTTATACAGTATTCGGTGAATGTGGCAGGAGCTCTTTGCCTTAAAACGTTCCATAAAATTTTGGATTAGATTATTGCATATGCCAAATGTAAGATTAAACTTATGATTTTAAAAGCAGCAAATAATGAAAAAATAATTGGGTTTCAAAATTAAAGTATTTGCTGTTTCAACTTTGATTGGCTATGTTTGGGAATGACAATCAATAAGTCGTAAAGAATCCTTTATCGGATAACTAATGTCAAGATTAAAATGTTTGTTTGTGCAGGACTGGCTCGCCTTTCTTTACAGCAGTTATAAAACTAGAAGTCTGCTTTCTTCAGAACATAATTTTACCTTATATGCATATTTATATGCAACATTCCGTGGGGCCATGGCATAATTTCGTTGCAGGTATGTCAATATTCCTAGAGATAAAAGGCGCTGCACTCTTATATGTAGAAGATGAATACCCTACAGATAGCAGGTACAATTTGTTTTTGTTATCAAAGGATACAAATGAAGCTTTCCTATGCTAATTTATTATGTAAATTGCATTAGAAAGATCCACGTATATATGAAATAGCTTTTCGTTTAGTCGAGGTACTTCGAGTGAGGGTAGGTTTTATCATTGCTCATGTGTACGTCATTTCTTTCTCGATATCGTGTCTTAACCAGTGTTTGATCGACAGCCGTTTACTTTGAAGGTTGAGTGTGTATATTTCCAGTAAAGGGGCCCCCGGCCTATTATCAAATGGTAATTCATTAAAACAATAATCGAAGCGCCATGTTATAATGTTACAAGCAGAAGGTCACCATTAAGTGGACAGTTCCATCTTCCCGAGGCAAGGGAGTTAACTGACTTTAAATGTCCAGTTTCACCCCTTGCCGAACTAGGCTGGAATTATGAAGTTATATTTTGGCTAGACAAACGAGTCTAAGCATAGTCCAATCAAAATCACGTAACGACATCCGGTTCATAAATAACATGCATTTCAACGAGCAGATTTCGTTCGACTGCAGGATTTGCAAAGGATGTGTGCCGTCAACAGGTCGTCGACAGATATATTTCAAATCGTTTCATGTTTAGTATCTGGCCAGTGCAGCGTTGTGCATCTAGGTTTTCCGTAATATGGACCAAGTTTGTTCATCTGTTGTTGTAGATGGCAGTACACATCATGGCGTTGCTGCCATCGTCAAATTTCCCGGCCTCCTGTACGCAATTACCGCAGAGTCTTCATTACAACGTCTATAAACACGACATCATCGTGCCGCCGGAACATAAATCTGGACTCTTCATAAATCATTCATGTCTTTAACGACGTCGTCGTTGCGATGTTGCTGCGTCAAAATGATACCACGGACAGGACATCTGGCACGAATGTTCGAATGTTGGGTGTCTTAGTCGTCCTCGGTGGCTGTAGGTGACGTACCCGTATGTAACGGTACATTGCGGTGTTAGTCACACGGGGTCACCGGACCTGGGGCGGTCATGTGTTGACCTATGATGTTGATAACGTTCTCACTTGTGATGGGGGTTCGGAACGCATTAAACGCACTAGCAACTACCTGGATTCATCTTCCAATCAGCCGATGACGTGGTTTCTCATCTTCCAATCAGCCGATGACGTGGTTCCTCTGCTTCCAATCAGCCGATGACGTGGTTCCTCTGCTTCCAATCAGCCGATGACGTGGTTCCTCTGCTTCCAATCAGCCGATGACGTGGTTCCCCTGCTTCCAATCAGCCGATGACGTGGTTCCTCTGCTTCCAATCAGCCGATAACGTGGTTCCCCTGCTTCCAATCAGCCGATGACGTTTTTCCTCTGCTTCTAATCAGCCATAATGTCTTCAGCAACCCAGGCTTGCCGTAAAAGGCGACTATGCTTGTCGTAAGAGCCGACTAACGGGATCGGGTGGTCAGGCTCGCTGACTTTGTTGATGCATGTCATCGGTCCCAATTGCGTGGATCGATGCTCATGGTGTCAATCACTGGATTGTCTGGTCCAGACTTGATTATTTACAGGCCGTCGTCATATAGCTGGAATATTCCCGAGTGCGGCGTTAAACAACAAACAAACAAACAAACAAACCGATGACGTGGTTCCTCTGCGCTTCACTGAGTCGTGGCATGTGTTGGCGGTTCTACAGTCGGTGTAATACAGGTGTCAGGCAATTCCTGCCCTTTCATACCGTTGGAGTTCATGTTGCATGTGAAGAAGATACACATGTATTAATCACATAGTTTTGTGCGTTTTGGTGAATGTAGCGATGGGAATATGCTGGGGTCCACACGTGAAAGTATATTTATTTATGCTGTGCCAGAAAGTCAACTGTTTTTACTTTGAATATGGAATATATCCCTTCTGCTTTCTTTTTAAGAGTATATATTACATTGTTTAACTCAATGTATTTTGAGAAATGCATTTTGCGGATATTCTTAAGTTTCGAGAAATTGGAACCAAGTGGGATTTCCGAGACGGATATTCAGTTACCAATGTAAGAACTAGCAACATTGGGCATTGGGTGGTTAGCTGAGTCACCTGGGTGGTTGTATTCCAGAAATGATTTGATTTCAGAACATCACAAATGAAATACAATAATACTGACAGGTTATGCATTGAATCGATAAATTGTACTGCTGTAATAAGTACTGCTGTAACTTAACAGAATTTTCCTAAAATGTATTTCAGTAGGAAATGATGTCATGACAAATTTTCATTATACTTCCCTACCCCTGTATGTCACGAATAACATATAAAACATGAAACAGATTCATGTATGAAAACTATTACATGAAGAGGAAGATATGCAAGTAACATTTTATGCCCCAGGTCAAGGAAAATTGAACCATCTCAAGGCTTTTATCCAAGTTCTTTCTTTGTAAGCCCATATGTATACTCTTACCTGTATAGGGCGGTCGGGTAGCCTAATGGTAGCCTAAAGCGTTAGCTCGTCACGCCGAAGACCCGGGTTCGATTCCCGACATGGGTACAATGTGTGAAGCCCATTTCTGGTGTCCCCCGCCGTGATATTGCTGGAATATTGCTAAAAGCGGCGTAAAACCTCACTCACTCACTCACTCACTCACTCACTCACTCTTACCTGTATATCCACTCGAATCCTTCTGAATGTCGTCAAGCCATACATAGGAATATGCAATGGCATAATGTTTCCATCACAGTCACCGTCACGGGTATTAGGGTAGAGCCCAAAGTTCGGGGCTGGTAAGGTCACGTATTCTGTAGGAACTTCTGAACTCATGTTGTGACAGTAGATTCTCGTTCTTTCACCCTGGAACACTGGGGGGTAGATCCAGTATTCTCCATCACCACGGGAACAGGATTTTACTTCAGAACATTTGCATGGTTTTGTTTGTCCTTTGCAATATGAGACGATACACTGTTGTTAGTCGCAGATATCAATTCAAAGAAAATATCAAAACATTTGTCATAAATAATTAGATGTAATGTCAAACGTTTTATTTCGAACTGTGAAAATACCATAAACAGATACCCGGAAGCGATAACATACAATCGATATAGTGAGTGAGTGAGTGTGTTGGGTTTAACGCCGCTTTTAACAGTATTCTAGTTATATCGCGGCGTGTCAGCTTAATATGGGATGAAAGCCCGAAGTGATGCAGGTCTCAGACGTTTACCACTTTGGTGAAACCCACGAGCACGGGTATGGTGCTGACAAACCTAGAAACATAATCGGGGCGAACCGTGATTCGCACCCACAATCATAGGTTTTTGGCGTGCCCAAGGGACGTAACTCTGCACAGCGAATAGCGGCGCCTTAGACTTCTGGGCCCCCTACACTCGGTATAAAAGGGACAGGAAATGATACATAATGTGCAGATAAACCTGTTCACACTCTGCATTACAACTCAAAATAACTTTTATACAACGTTGCCGTATCTCTGCCCATTCGTTTCTGAGACGAAGATAATGCAATACTGTTATGCTTTTATGTGGATATTTTCATATTGCCTTAGCATAGGTCCAGTGACATATTGCCTCCAGTGAGTGAGGTTTTAAGCAGCTTTTAACAATATTCCAGCAATATCACGGCGGGGAACACTAAAAATGGGCGTCACACAATGTACCCACGTGGGGAATCGAACCCGGGTTTCGGCGTGATGAGCGAACGCTTTAACCACTAGGCTATCCCACCGCCCCCATATTGGCCCTAGACATGCTGATTAGCCCGAGGCAACACCGAGAGACAATACAACGTTCCGGGGTTCTGTGAGACCTTGAACTCTAAGGAGGCCAACATGGTTTAAACTGTAAAGAAATAGACACCCTTCCTATATGAAAATCGACAGGCAACAGAAGGACTTTAACCAACAACCAGGAAGCAATACAAACCAATATACACTTAACAGATAACCACTTGTTTATCTTAATCATATCATCTTAATGGTTGTCCATTTCAACGGTCGTCACGGTATGGCTAAAAATATTGCCGATGTGACGTTAAATATTAACTCACTCACTCACTCACCCATTTCAACAAATATAACCAAGGTGTTTATCTATTAAAATGTTTTCACTGAGCTCTTAACAATACTTATAAGAGAAATAACACTTCATTTATCCGGAAGAAAATCTAGTCGTTTGATCACCGTCTTTTCTTCCAAATCTACTGACACATATAAATATCATTTTCACACACATAACATGGTCTCCATGTCCCCAGCTACAGCGAAGTAAACTTTTTGTTTTGAAAACGTCACTGCAGCGCCTGATTAAAGTGAACGTTAGATCACCTATTCTTATGTATGGGATGCTGTTGTCAGTCAGACATAAAGGAAGTTGAAAAATAATCATCATTTCACTACACGATGGGGAATTGTCAGAAACTTTCATTAACATATTATTCAAGCAATTTTTAATGATTGGTCTATTAAAGTTCGCAGTATTTAAGAACTAAAGTTTGCTCTAGCCCCATGACTTTGACTCGAAACACAGACATCAAGGAAATACCAGCGTGTGTGTCGTATAGTAATCATTTATCAATCCATACCACCGAAGCTTCTACGAGTTATCAAGTGTATACATTTTTTTAAGGTTCCAAAATCAATGTATGTGACCTTACAACGGGTGAGTCAACAAAAGGGATATATGTACTCCCAGCAATGAAAAACTTATGTCGCAAGGAAGTTAATTTACAATGTAATCAATGCTATGAACGTTATGTATTGAAGAAAGCCAAAGCTTTGATACATGTGATCTATAATCTGAAATCTATAACAACACATCATGTTAGCAAGGTGCGGGAACTATTAATACACTACTGAGTGGGTAAATTGTAAGCCCCTTCAACCTGATCAATAACCGTTTTCATTAATTTTTATCTCCCGCTACGAAGTGGAATGAGGGTATAGGAATGGGTCCCGTCCGTCCGTCACATTTCGTTTCCGGAGCAGAACACAAAAACCATGAGAGATATCTTAACCAAACTTGGCACATCGATCGGTCTAGTGGAGAACTGGTAGTTCTTTTGATAGTTTGAGATTTAAAACCCCCCACATTTTTCGAGTTTCCATGGCAACGACTTTGACTTAGACTGAAAATAGCGGTAGTCCTCGTTTCCGGAGCCGCTCTTGAAAACCGTACAATATTTCTTCACCAAACTTGGCACATTAATAGGTCTAGTGGTAAACTGGTGCCTTTTGATAATTTGGGATTTTTTGAAAAAAATACTATTCGAGTTTCCTTGGCAACGACTTTGACTTAGACTGAAAATAGCGGTAGTCCTCGTTTCCGGAGCAGATTCTGAAAACCGTACAATATTTCTTCATCAATCTTGGCACATAAATAGCTCTAGTGGACAACTGGTGCCTATTGTTACTAACAATCCACAAGTCTCAAGGTAGCACATATGAGCAGATGATTGGGAACATGACAATTACACAAGGAAGTAAATTAAAAGCCCAGCCAGGTCAAGTGTATACGATGCTCAGTGGGGTCAAATCAAGGAAAGGCCTAAAGCTTGTAGGTTTAGCTGAACACAAAATTGTAGTAAACAAAAAAACAACAACATTGGATGAGATGACTAGATTGCGGAATGAAAGACTGTTCACCTGGACACACCCTGTAGAGAACATTCATGGTGATGGAGTCGAGGTGGCTCACTTGAGTGTTCGATCCCTCAGTGCTCATTTCGAAGATGTGAAGAAAGATAAGTCTGTTGGTGTGCTTGATGTTTTGTGTTTCACAGAAACACACATCAATTATTACAGTGAAAGAGACCTGCCAGGATATCAAGTCTATCCAGGAGACACAACACATGGTATTGCTGTGTATGTTTCAACAAGTTTCAAGAACAGTGTCCAGCTATGTGATGTAGTGTCATCTCGCAGTATTGAATACATTTCCTTTCTTGTTGGCAAGTTCTGCACTGCTTGTGTGTGTGTTCCTCCAAAAGTGTCATGGACACGGTTGTCGCATTCACTCACTAACTTCATGCAGAAATGTCAGGATCTCTCCAAGCATGATGAATGTGAACATGTCCTAGTTACTGGGGATTTCAACTGAGATCTGAGTGAAAAAACTGAAACTTGAAGGTTTCTTTAATGTGGGGAAAATGACTCAACTTCGCTGTATGCACTGCTTTTCTAGACTTGTTGTTTACTGACCATGTCAGTGCTGTAGCATTCCAGACTTCAGTCTCCTACTCAGATCATCAGATGATTGGTGATCTACTTCTCAGTACACCTCATGGTGACCACTGTTCTCATTGATCTCTAAGTAAAGTAAGAACTCCCTTACTCCTCTGATTATTAACCCCCCCGGCATATAATGCGGGGGATATAGTGATCAGCCAGTCTGTCTGTCTATCCGTAATCATTTCCTTTTCCTGGGCAGAACTCGAAAACCATTCAGTGTATTTGATCGAAACTTGGCAAATCTATCAGTCACATGCTGAAGTGGTGCCTTTTGATATTTTTGGATTTTTGGAATTTTTATTTTTTTAAATTTAATGGAAAGAAGTTGGACATAGACTCCATTTGGAATGGGGTTCGTTTCCGGGGCAGAATTCGAAAACCATTCAGTATATTTGATGAAAGGTGTATCAGAAACATGCTGAAGTGGTGCCTTTTGCTATTTTGTAATTTTTAAAAATTATTTGTGATATGATAATTACAGCACCTGTATAATCACGATTGTGGTGTTGGGACAGTCATGCCCCGGCAGCATCTCCGAGGCGTCAGAAAGTCAACCTGCCTAGCCGCTGTCCGAAGGTCAAGTCCCGAGTCAGCGAAAGTATTCCTTCTAATCAGTGAAATCACTGACCAGCTGCCACGTATCGAATACGATACCTCTCTGGTCAGCCTGCAGCATCCCGCACCTCATCCAGAATGTCAAGCTTCAGTGGCCAACCGGCCATTCTCGTGCGCTAATTAGGAGCCACCTGCACATAACTCCGTGCTGTTGGCCATATAATTTGTATTGGCCAGCGCTGTGAATATTTATCTATATATATTTAACTTATTTAACTCAGGGTATATATAAGACATATATAATATAATATATAATAATTATAAACTCCCTATTAAAACCTATACTCTGCCAAACTGCCTACGATACTTGCATCCCAAGTACCAAGTTGTCCGACTCCCCTTTGTTCTCGGTGCCTTAGGTTTGGTACCTCCCAATCTGTTGACTGCCATCGGGAGAGTACCCGGGTTTGCTACCAGGAATACAGCCCTTCTGACAATCTGGGTAATACAGAAGGCTGCAGTGTTGGGGAGTCTTCACATTCTCCGAAAGATTCTGGGTGGGTTTGACTAGGCAGCGCTTCCTGGGAGAAGTCCCATTCACTGTCTGGGCTGCGTGTCGAGGGGACAAGGGCCCTGAGCTGATGATGAGCCGAACCCTCTTTGCTGCATTTTTTTATTTTATTATGTATGTTAATAATAATAATAATAATAACAACAACAACAACAACAACAACAACAATCATAATCATAATCATCATCATCATCACCATTGTTGTGTTTCATTACACCTGATTGCCTGAAAAATGTAATTTAAAAGTCCAGGGCCTGATGGTATTCGAAACCGGTTTTGGAAACTGTCACCATTACTTCATTGTTTTAATTCTCTTGTGGATACAGGGGATGTTCCGCCTTGGTTGTCCAAAGGTCGAACAATACTGCTCCCAAAGAAAGGTGATTTGACTGATCCCAGAAACTTCCGCCCTATTACTTGTCTGAATACACAGTACAAAATACTTACAGGGTGTCGTACAGATATTGTGCCATCTTACTGCGCATCCAATGACATTATTTACATGGATCAGAAAGGGGGGAGAAAGGGATGTTGGGGTTGTAAGGATCCACTGCTGGTTCAGAAAATGATTCTTG